AATCGAGACGCACCGAGGGCTCCAGGCCATCTGGGCCCGCGTCGTCGCCAACCCCGTCGTCTGAACCTGCGGTGCCGTGGTCTTCCCTCGGCCTGTGCGCTGCCAGCCGACCGAGGCCAACGAGTACCAGCAAAGCGACTTCCGCCGGGAGGACCCCCAGACGGGGCTATAGGGGGGAGTGGCCAGGTCAGAACACTATCCCCCGGGGGATCCCAGAGCCCCAAAAAGCCCCAAGACGGGCCACGAGTGCCCCAAGAGGCCGCCAAGACGGTCCAAGAGGGCCCCGAATCGCCGAACGATCGGGTCCAAGACGCCCAAGATGGTCTCCAGACAGCCCATGAGGCTTCCAAGACGCCCCCAGAGCAATCCACGAGCACCCCGAAGAGGGCGCCAAGAGGGAAACTTCATTGATTTTCTTCGGATTTTTGGCAGATTTTGGCGTTCTCGCCTTTTCGGCTTCCCGACGCTCGAAGACGGCCCAAGAGGCCCCCAAGACCGCCCCAAGAGGCTCCCAAGAGGCCCCGAGAGGCCCCCAAGTGGCTTCCAAGAGGCTCCAGCACTGCCCCCCGGAGGTTCCCGAGAGCGCGCCGACGAGACCCCAATAGACATCTCTGAGGACTTTGACCCACGTCAGCGTCGTCGTCGTCTCCGCCGCCGCCGCCGCCGCCGCCGCCGCCGCCGCCGCCGCCGCCGCCGCCGCCGTCGTCGTCGTCGTCGTCGTCGTCGTCGTCGTCGTCGTCGTCGTCGTCGTCGTCGTCGTCGTCGTCGTCGTCGTCGTCGTCGTCGTTGCCGTCCCCCTTCAGGGTCGGCGGCACTGGCCGTACGGCCTTCGCAATCTCTCCAGGGCCTCCCAGGACCTCGATCATCCCAGAGCGTGCCACGGCCTGCCGGAGCCGCCAAGGGCTTCCCAGCGCCCCCTGGGGCCTCCCGAAGTCTCCCAGAGCGTCCCACTACCTTCCTGGGTGCCCACCGCGTCCTCCCCCTTCTGCTCCTGCTACTGTTGCAGCTCCTCCTCCTTCTCCTCCTCCTCCTCCGATCTCCCCCTCCCCCTCCTCGCTTCTCCTCGCTTCTTCTCCTCCTCCTCCTTTTCCTCCTCCTCCTCCTCCTCCTCCTCCTCCTCTTCTCCCTCCTCCTCTTCCTCCTCCTTCTCCTCATTCTCACTCCTCGTCGCTCCTCTTCTCTCTCTCTCTCTCTCCCTCTTCTCTTCCTCCTCATCCTCTGTTTCCTCCCCCTCCTCTCCGTCTCCGTCTCCTCCTCCTCCCTCCTCCTCCTCCTCCTCCTCCTCCTCCTCCTCCCAGTTCGCCTCTCTTCGATCCTCCAGCTCTCTCGTCCCCTCCCGATCATCCGCCTCCTCGCCGCTGCCACACCTTGCTCCCTCATCCTAGATCCTCCCCTCTCCTCGGTCGTTCGCTCGCTCGCTCCTCGTCGCCGTGACGACGGGCGCCGCGCGACTGCGCCCCGGGCCTCCCGACAACGAAGTCTGGGTGCAGCAGCTCAGTCGTGCGCTCCACCGTGATCACGCCCAGCGCCTGGCTCGACGCCCCGGGGGCGGGGGGAACGGGACCCGCCAGCGGCCGCCGCCGCTCGGAGCGAGCAGGAGGAGGAGGAGGAGGAGGAGGAGGAGGAGGAGGAGGAGGAGGAGGAGGAGGAGGAGGAGGAGGAGGAGGAGGAGGAGGAGGAGGAGGAGGAGGAGGAGGAGGATGACGCCCCCCCCTCGAGGGCCGAAGCTGCGGACTGTGTCACCGATGCGGCCGAAACCCGCGAAGCCTCTCCCTCCCAGCAGCGCTGGGGGGGGGGGGGGGGGCGGAGCAAAACCAAGATGCGAAGAGAGAGAGGCAGGATCAGTTGGGGTGAGGCTGGTGGTGCCTGCATGCGCTGGCGCGGTGCGGGTGCGAAGGTGGCGCGAGCGTGGGCCCCAGCACCCGGGGGGAGCTGAGGCCCACCCACCTCGGCGCGCCTCTCCTTGAGCAGGGGCCCGCCTCCTGCTGATTCTGCCAGGGGTCCGAGGTAGGCGGGGAAGGGTGCTTTGATCCTAGGTGCGGCGCGGCGCGGCAGTCGCAGCGAAGTGGGCGGTGTGGGGGTGATGGGCGGGTGAGGCGAAGGGGCGCCGTGGTCAGAACAAGGTGGCGGCTGGGCGTGCGGCGGAGGAGGGGAGGTGGGAACCAGTAAAGGGGCGACGAGGTGGGCGAGGCCAGAGCTGTGCCGTCACTCCCCGAGAGGGGGGGGGTGGCGGCTCCCTCAGCTTGGCTCTTGTGCCGAAGGGCCGGGTGGTCCATGGCCCCCCGTCCTGTGTGCAGGGGGGCCCGTGCCGACGGCAGCCCCGACTCTTTCCCCCTCCCGGCGTTGTGTGCTCCTGTCCCGTCCCCCGTTCCCACTGGCAGCGGTGTGGCGAGGTGGAGTAGGTTAGTGGGCGAGACACGGGATGGGGGCGGGGCTGTGGGGCAAGAAGAGGAGAGGGAGGATCAGGTTAGTTGGGGCTCGAGGTTCCTCAGAGGAGGTTGCGGCCAAGGTGCAGGTAGTAGGCGAAGTCTCTGGAGTAGTCAGGGTGCTCCGAGTTCGAGGAGCGTCAGAGGTGGATGCAGGCGTAGTGTGGAGGCGGTGGCGACATGGATCATGGAGTATAGGGCATCACAGAGTTAGAGGTAGGCGTACGACGGGCGATGTGAGGACTGTGCTTGTGTCACTCGGAATGACGGTGCTGGCGAGTAGGTGCTGTTGTGCGGCGTCGCGATAGCTGGTGCTGCTGCCGCCGTGTTGGCAGTGAGTGCGTAGTCAAGGTGTGGCGTGGGAATGAGAGGTGCGGAAGAGGTAGAAGCCAGCTGAGTAGTGGCTGTGCCGTCATGGGGCACAACTGGTGGAGGCATGGGAGTGCTGCGCCCCGTGAGGGCCGCTGCAACGTAAGCGGTCTGACGCTAGCAGTGGCTCCTCGCGGTAAGGAATGCCCGTGCCGCGGGCCCTGCAGGCACCATGGGGCAGGGACTCGTACAGTCAACCCGTACAGTAAGGATGCGCGATAAGGATGCAAGGCCTTTGGAAGCCCATTTCGAAGTTTTCGAGCGGGGCGCGGCCAACGAACGTGGCCAAGGATGCACCGAGGATGCAAGGATGCAAGGGTACCTTTGGGAAGGTTGCCCGTCCTTACTATGCGGGTTGACTGTAGTTGCCAACCTATGCTGGGGTCGTTGCTGCGGCTGCAGCTGTTCCCCGCGCTCGGTAGCCGCACTTCCCTGGATGGGAATACGGGGGGTGAAGGCAACATCGGTGGGTTGAGTCGATCTGGTCGGACTATTGGAGCCGGTCGTGGTTGCCGTCGCTGGACCCTGCGTCCGGCCAGTCAACGCTCAAAGACCCTCTGATACTCACGCCGACCCGCGACAAGAACGAGCCTGTCCGCACCATCCGACAGCCCTGGTCCAGGACGGCCCTTGAGGCGGCCTCAACAAGGCCTGTGCATTTGGAAATGGGGCGTGCGGACGCGGCGTGAGCCTGGAGACGTGCTCGGTATCGATGGAGGCCTCCCAAATTGGGTCCCAGCAGATGGGGGCAGAGGATCGCGCCGCATCGCCGATGTATTGGCCATGCGTCCGCGACGTCGGGGATGCATCGGCGACGTCGGCGTGGAGAACATCGGGCTCCACATCGACCCGCATCGGCAATGCATCGGCGATGCGGCGCGATCCTCCGACCCCATGTTCTCGGACCCCGTCTGGGAGGCCCGGAACTGGGAATCGGGGCCGGCGCTCGCGGCGTGAGCCCAGCGACGTGCTCGGTGCGCAGGAGGAGGAGGAGGAGGAGGAGGAGGAGGAGGAGGAGGAGGAGGAGGAGGAGGATGATGAGGAGGATAACGAGGAGGTGGCTCATGCCGGAACCTCTGCATGCAACAACTGTTGACGTCCCCCTCTTACCCTGCGCCACCTGCCGAGAGTCTTCCGCGGGCGGACCCGCCGCCGTTCCACTCCCGCCGGGCTGCGCCGAAGGAGAGGCGCTTTCTGGAGCGCCCCGCGTGCCTTTTCTGCGGGCTCATGCCCGTGCGACGTGCCCTGCGCAGCGCTCCCGCCGAGGCCAGAGAAGCAACATGCTGCTTCTGGGGGCTCATGCCTGTGCGCCGCGCCCTTCTCAGCGTTTCCGCCGAGGCTAGAGAAGCAAGAAACTGCATAACCATAAACTTTCGGAGCTCCACGCGGGTTTCTTGGATCGGCGCTGGGCCCCCCTCACTGGCGCGCGGAGGGCGCCAAGTGCGGCGCTGGAGGCGCCGCCAGGGGGACCCAGCGCCGATCCAAGAAATCCACGCATAACTCCGAAATACTCTCTCTCTCTCTATACGCAGTTTTCCTTCGTCGAGAGGCGGGCCTAGCTGCCCCGATACGCAGCACGCAACCCGCAGGGTGTCGACACGGAGCTCAACACGTAACTGAAGGCGTAGGTCTGGCGCGATACGTTCGCCAAAACGTGGACCCCCACTTGCTGAGCCAACACGAAACGTGTTCAGCCCAGACGTTTTGAACGCGGTACGTGTCGCGGTTCAACATGGGCATATCAGGGCAGCCAATGGAGGCCTCCTAGATGAGGTCCGAAACATTGGGGTCGGAGGATCGCGCCGCATCGACGATACATCGGCGATGCATCGACGATGCATCGGCGATGCATGGGCGACGTCGGCGATGCATCTGCGCCGTCGGTGTGGAGAACATCGGGCTCCGCATCGACGATGCATCGGCGACGCGGCGCGATGCTCCGACCCCATCTGCTCGGATCCCCATCTGGGAGGCCTGGAGCTCGGGAATCGGGGCCGGCGCTCGCGGCGTGAGCCCAGCGACGTGCTCGGTGTGCAGCAGGAGGAGGAAGAGGAGGAGGAGGAAGAGAATGAGGAGGAGTAGGAAGAGGAGGAGGAGGAGGAGGAGGAGGGGGAGGAGGAGGATGAGGAGGAGAACGAGGAGGTGGCTCCGACCCCATCTGCTCGACACCCCGTCTGGGAGGCTTGGAGCTCGGGAGGCGGGGCGTCAGAAGGTCCCCAGGCGCAGCCGCGCCGCCGCGGGCGCGCACTCGGCGGCCTCCCTCGCTGGCCGCTTCTGCCCCGGCGACGCGCCGGGCGCCGGCGCCGCGGCGGCGGCAGGGGCCCCCGCGTTCGCGGGCGCTGCGTCCTGCGGCCCCTTCGCTGACGCCGCCGCCGCCGCCGACGCCGCCGCTGACGACGACGCCGCCGCCGACGCCGCCGCCGACGACGACGCCGCCGCCGACGCCGCCGCCGACGACGACGCCGCCGCTGACGACGACGCCGCCGCTGACGCCGCCGCTGACGCTGACGCCGACCCCGCCGCAGACGCTGACGCCGACGCTGATGCCGACGCTGACGACGACGCTGACGCCGAGGGCCATGAGGCGTCCTGCTCTCCAGATCCGCCAGGCCTCTCGGCCTCTCGGCCCTCGGAATCCTCGGGTCTCATCAGCTCCCGCAGGAAGAGGAAGAACGACACCTCGGACGCGTCTAGCCCGAAGCGGTAGACGTAGCGCGAAGCGATCCAGGCGCTCACCATTGACAGCACGTAATTTGCCGGTACATTCCTCAAAATGCCCTCCAAGCCCAGGCGCTCGAGCATGACCGGAGGCACAGCTCCCTTACGCAAGACGCTTCTCGTCAGACAATTCCGCTCCGTCTCAGACATCGACTCGTGGTGATACTCGAAACTGTCCTTCACTCTGTTGATCTGCATCGACAACCGGCGAGACGCCTCCACCTTTGGCATGCCGTTCTGGTTGCAAGTCCAGATGGCCCGGAACTCCTGGCTCTTAGATGCTCTCATTCAAAAACGCTCGGGGCGGTTTGCCTCCTTTTCAAAATCGACGTTTCTTTTTTTGGGGGTAATCTCTTTCCGTTTTGGGGTTCTCGTTGGCGACGTTTTCAATTGGGTTCCGGTTTGTACCACGCTGTTTTCTATGTGTCTGTGTGTGGTGTGGGGGGCTGCCGTGAATTGTTGTTGTTGTTGCTGCTGTTGCTGTTGTTGTTGTGGTTGTGGTTGTGGTTGTGGTTGTGGTTGTGGTTGTGGTTGTGGTTGTTGTTGTTGTTGTTTTCTCATTTCTATAGAACAAGTAATATTGATCCTCACTCCCCAGTAACCCTTGTATTCTTTCAATTCAAATGCTTCTGCTGGGGCTCTTGCCCTGATTGTTTCTAAAGGCAAATGAAATGTCACCAAAGTATACCCCTGGCCCCCTGTTTACAACAACAGCGGCTCCCGCCTGATACTTCCTCACTATGTATTCCCAAATCGCGCTCTCGTGCGAGACTTTCACAATTTCTACAGGAATTACGCTGTCGCGTGGGACTTCCCCACAACTTATTCAATCGCCGCGCCCTCGACACTAGGAATCACGCCGAGCGATCGCGCGATTCCCCACGCGTTCGAACCCCTGAGGGAGGGGGCGGCGTCGGTCATGGCGGCGGAGCGAGCAGTGGCCGACGGCCCGATGAAGATCGGCGCGATGAAAAGGGGAAACGCAGCAAGAGGTCAAGGCGGCGGACAAGAGCAAAAACAAACAAACACTACAACGGACAGCAAGACGACAACCGCAACCCCGACGCGGGGATCGAGTGTCACAACTGTCCAGAAGGGCCACCAGAATAACGATTGCCGCAAGAGAACGGCCGACGAGAGAAAAGCAACCAAATAACAATCCCATTTCAAGAAGAATATGCCGCCGCCGTGACAGAGGGGCAGGATCGGCCGCTTCAGGAGAGCCTGTCACAAGCTTCCGCGCAATTGGCCCTGGGACGCGGAGTTCCCAACAGCGCAGCCAGTGCAACGACTCAACCATTCGCCAAGAGTCTTCAAACGAAGATGGTTCTGGCCGGAAAGGTAAGAAGACGCGATCGCACCGCGTCGACTGGATTTGGGGACCAGGCGCATACGACGTGTGCGAGTGCAGGTCCTCCAGGAATGCGTTCAAGGGCGATCGGTGGCACTGCGCTGACTGGAAGAGACGCGCGGCGTGCTCTGCCCTGACTCCCGCAACATCTTGTGACGACGACTGTTGTTGCACTGGGGCGGCTGCGGTTTGCCCCGTGCCAGCTCAGATGCGTGGACTTCGAGAGTGTAGTGACGGTGATGACCGAGTGCGGTTAGCCTCGCTTAGGAATGCAGTGGCGCTGGGTTCAGGGGCGCAGATCAGCGCTGTGCCCCGAAAGCCAGCGGAAAGGCACAACGGCACAACTACGTGCCAAAGGCCGGCCGCGTGGTGGGCCTGGCGGGGATCGGGGGTGAAGACATTCCCAGGCATGGGCACGTGCAGCTCAGATTATCACGAGGAGGAAATGTAGTCCAAGTTGGAGCTGAAATTGCGGGCGTGGAGTGCCCCATGGTGGCGACGGATGCGGTGGTAGGTCGAGGCGAGAGCGTTCCCCGCAGTCCCGCAGGCCACTAGATCGTTGATGGGGCCATCGGGCCGCCTGCTGGTGAGTTCATACCTCTACGGGGGCATCAGCCCAACTGCTATTTGGAGCACGACGAACTCCTGGGTGGCGGGGGTCGGCCAGGAGCACGCATGGCAGCGGTGAGAAGGGCGCTTCCCAGGCGCGTACCTGCTGAACGCGAGTCTGGGAGTGTATCTCGAGTGTCGGGCGCAGAGCCTGACGAGACGACCGCGGTGTCTGCGAGAGTGCTCAAGTCACCGTGCCGGCCGAGTGTAGCAGAAAGAGCAGATCATGAAAGACATCATCTACCTGTTCGTCCGTGCTGCCCAATGTGCGGTCACGGTCGAGCCGACGATGATCCGCGTTAAATACAACAGGTTCCAGACGAGAAGCAGATCCCGAGGGCGCGCTTCGACTTCTTCTTTGTGGGGGGCGACAAGCTGGCGACGTGCGAGCTCAAATGGGGTTTCCGGAGATGATGGAAACAGGTCTTGAGCGATCCCTGTGCTCGGCGCGATCGACTGCAAGGTTCTCGCTCAGGCGGCGCGCTGCGCCAAACAAAGGCTCGACGATAACGGGGTTGGGTTTCTCGCGCGGGTGTTGGAGAGCTGGGTCGCTCGACGGTAATGCTGCAGACGGACTCTGAGCCTGCGACGATGGCCTGGGCGAGTGCCGCGAGGGGCCGAAAGTCTCGCTCCACTCTGGCGCGGGGGTCGCCACCTTTTTCGAAGAAGAGTGCCGGGTGTGTCGAAGGAACCAACGGGCTTGCGGCTGGGCTCCTACGGGTGTGCAAGCTGAAGCTGGAACAGATGTTTGGAGTGGAGATTCAGATGCAGGGCCCGATCGCGCCGTGGCTGGTGGACACGGCGGGGTGGATGATCACCGAGTTCTAACCGCGCAGCCATGGAGGCTCATCTCATAAGATGCTAGGCGGCAAGGAGGTGCCAAGGCGAGATCGCAGAGTTCGAGCAACAGATCTGGCGTCGGATCGCAGCTCGAATTGCCGCGGGTCGAGGCAAAGGGGGGGCCGGGCTTGCGAGGGGCATCTGGGCCCGCAAGAGCTACTTGAACGACGCGCACCCGGCGATCGACGTTGAGCGCGGAGTTCAGACGGTCAGGGCGGTCAGTCGGATGCCCGAGGAGTTCAGATGCAATGCTGACTTGCTTAGAAGCATCGCGGTGGCGCCTTGGAAACAGACGCTCGCGAAGGCTCCTGCCAGCGCAGGGCGCAGCACATGCGTCGCGGAGAGGATGATCGATGCTCGTGGCCCGACGGGCGATTGTAATAAGTGCATTGCTGGTTACGGATCGCACTCGGCAGCGCGCCCAAAGCTGTTTGAGACATCCAAGTGGGCCTTCTCAGGGAGAAGCTCGAGAAGGAACCCGAAGCCGCGGAGGTCGCGGCGGTGGCGCCGGCTGCGGGCGGCCCCGCGCCACGTCCAGCATGCAGCAGCAGTGGTCAGGGGGCGGTCAGCCCCGCGCCTCCGCAGGCTGAGGACGCGGCCATGCCCGACGCAAGCCCGGGAGAGGCGCCAGCGGCGCCAGCTCCGGCAGCTCCCGAGGCAGTTCCCATGAACGTTGGGGAAGAGCGAGTTCGAGGGGCGGCTCCAGGTGGGCCTACGCCGACAGAGGAGATCAAGAAACTGCGAATGGCGGCTGTCGGAGCTTACAAGGTGTGCGAACTGCAGTCTGCGAGGGAGGCCACGACGAGCGTTCTGATCCATTTTGATGTCGACATCCGCGCCGATATGGGCGTTGCGATGGACGACGCGAGAGGCGCGCCTCTGGGTGACAACTGAGGGAATGCCACCAGAACGAGTGTGCCTGCAGACGCTGCCTGATGAGCCACGTCGGATCGATCCAGCGCCGCGTAGAATGCGAGGCGGGCGAGAAGATCGAGCACATGATGGACGTCAGTGGCGAGCTTCGCGAGAGGGGCCAGCGGGTGTATCATGCCATCCACTGCGACTACTATCCCAGTGAACCACTCGATGAAGTACGATGCCAGGGTGGTCGAGACGACGAACTTTAAGCGATGCAGGGGCATGACGTGCGCGACGAGGTTGGCGCTGCCACGGCCGCCAACGGCGAGCGCGTCGGGGGTTTCCTATCGCCCACGTGAAGGATGGGAAGGTTCAGTGGACGTCGTGGCCGCAGAGGTGAACAAGTTCGAGGTCAGGGAGGATAACCACCGCGGCGCGCCACCTCTGATGGTGTAGCGCGCTCGATACTCGGGCAAACAGCTTCGAGTCCCACATCGGCGGAGGAGCACAAGCGAAATGTGACGTTGAAGAGACGACCCGCGATCATCCAGGTCGGGGGCGTTGCCGACCAAGAAAGACTCTGCTGGCTGCTCGTGAAGGCGATGAATGCCACCGGGATCGCTTCCAAGATGTCGGGTAAACTCTACAGGGTTACTCTTGATGACAAGCGCTGGGAATGCTTATCTGGGCTTCCAAATGTGTTCTGCTTGCCAGATGCCCCGCGCGTTCCAGCAATTGACGGAGTGCTGCGGCGATTTGCCATGGCGACGACTTTCCGACAGGAGGCCATGGTGAGCAATTCGACTAGTTAGACGGACTTCTCAACCATGGATCGAGAGACCTACCTAGGAGGAGGGGGGAGGAGGAGGAGGAGTCTGCCTGGCCATGCAGAGAGCAGGCAGGGTGCGCCTCGCAAGTCGTTCCATCTCCTGACAGGGCGCCCGGTGCACCTGCGCGCCGCCGTCCGGTGCTACGGCTTCCAATTCAAGAGCCTATGCGGCCGCTTTCCCCTGTCGTCGGCCAATGCCTGCTCGGTGAATCTGCCCTTCTTTACTGACTGGATCTCCGCCCAACTCTTCCCGCCCACCTTCGAGACTTGCTTTTCGCAGAACCTCATGGACCTCTTGATATATGCAATCCACGTTTCTTCTTTCCCGCGCGGTACTCGGAGCATCTTTCGCATCCTTCCCCCCCAAGCACTGCGCCAATGCCTGCGTGGCGTCTTCCCGCGCAGTCCACGCAGCCGAACCGTGTAGCGCCGCGGGCGCGACCACATTTTCAAAGAGCTTATCACGGGACATCAATGCGAACTGTCTGTTGCACAACGCATGACTGCATTTGCAAAATGCTCTCCGCGCCGAAGCCAGCCGATGGGGCAGCTCAGCACCGTGGTAATCTCCCAAAGTCAGAACTCTTCCCAGGTATTTCCCAGAGCACGCCGGCCGAAGTATATCGACTTCACCGCCCCCGACGAGAGCAGCGGCGCCAACTTCCAAATGTGCGCGACCAAGCTGTGCCTGGACGTCTCGTGCTGCAAGTGACATAGCATTTCTATTACGTCGCCCCGGCTCTGCGCAAAAAAGCAAGACGTCATCGGCAAATCTCAGGGTTGTCAGCGGGCCGTCCTCCGCGTCGATGACAAACCCGAAATAATGGCCCGAACGCCTCTGTTTGAGAGCTCCCCGTTTGCGCATGAGCGCTTGAAAGCATCTCTCCAGCACCGCGGCGAGGAGGGGCGCGCTGATCGGGCCCCCCTGTTTCGCGCCTCTCTTCGAAGAGAACGGGCGTGATTCGGCCCCCGCGACCACCGTGGCTGTCTGGTTTCTGTGAAGTTTCTTCAGTGGATCGATATACGGCGCGTCTACGCCAAAGTCATGCAAGACCTGCCAGAGCGAGTCGTGCTCGACAGTGTCGAACGCCTTCTCGAAGTCGACCAGGCCCAGCCAGAGCTCCTGGTTCCACTCCGACCATTTCTCGACCAACAGCGTCATTGCAACATGGTGGTCCTCGGTGGAAAACCCGGATCTATGCGCCGCTTGGTCGACTGGCTGCTGCTGGATGGTAGCTGACTCCAACCTGTTAAAGAGCATGCGCGCAAAGAGCTTGTAGAGTATTGGCAATATAGCAATGGGTCTGTAATCCTGCGAAAGATCGGGATCGCCTTTCTTGACGATCGCGATCAATTTGGATTGCCGCCGCGTCTGGGGGGGGGCCCTGTCAGGCATCCGAACATCGTTGAACAGCTCCAGCGCGCGATGGTGCAGCGAAGATCCACCGTGCTTGAGCATTTCGGCTGCAATGCCCGCACCGTCCCTGCACTTCCCTGTCTTCAGCGCTCGCAGGGCCGACTTGAGCTCCTCGGCAGAGAACGCTGGAACCTTGCCCCATAGGAGCTTGTGCAGAAGATGGAAGGTAAACATTTGCTGCTATAGGAAGTCCTCGTAGAAAGTGGCGAAGACCTCGGCGACCTCATCCACTGTATCATGGATTTTGCCGTCCTTGCTTCTCACTTGCGCTATGGCTGCCTTCTTCTTCGAAGAGCCAGCTCGAGTCAGTTCTTTCAGTCCTCGAAAATCATTCAACGTGCGATCGATTTTCTCGGTCCTGCGTACCCTTGCATTCCTGCGCGCTGCTTGTCTGATGCTCGTGCTTAACCTCTCTCATTCAGCTCTTTTCTGTGCTGGGATGAGGTCGCCTCTCGATCGTATATGGCGTCTCTCTTGGACCATTTTCTCGATGGCTGAATCTGGCGCCGGCCTGGTCCTCGGAGTCGTCGCGGGTGAAGCGCAGAGCAAAGCAGCACGCGTAGCGGAGACCATGGCTGCCTCCAGGTTGCCAGCTCGATTTGTCAAGTTTTCACACGTCGAAAGCGCCGCCCAGATTGTCGTGCAGATGTGCCAAGAACTTCAACTCCAGGGCCCCACGGCGGGGTTGTCGCCCTCGCCGTCGTCGTGGGCAGCTGCCGAGAGATACGCGCAAATAAAGAGCTCGATGGTCAGACCCAGTGTCAAACTTGGACAGCACAGCGCGCTTCTTCACGCTGTCTCTGTGCTTGTCTGGCGCGATGATGTAATCCAGCTGGCTGTTCGCGTCCCCGTCCGTGCGCGTCCAGAGAGCGTCCGGCCCCTCTGTCGCGAATGTGTTGGCCAAGGACATGTTCGTTTCTAAACGCAAATGCAATAAACACTTGCCCCATTCATTTCGCTCGCCTACCGGATTTGCACCTAAAAGGGCGCCCCCTTCATCATTGAAATCGGTCGTTGTCTGCGGGCCGACTTCTGCATTGAAGTCTCCAGCGTGCAGCGCGGAACCTTTGAAGCTGGAAACGCAGCGATCGATGCTCTCATGCACAGCCGGAACATGTTCATCTGGATACTTTCGATGCGGCATGTACACGCCGACGACGTTGATGTTTGCGCCTTCCGCCTCGAGTGTGACTGCTGCAACCCTATCAAAGATTGACTTGAATGTTGTGTGAGACCAGCGTTTGTTTAGCAGGAAACCAATGCCGTTGCAGCCTTTCGACCCATCACAGCCGAACCAAGTGTTGCCGTGCGTCGTGGTGAAAATCTCTCGAGCATCCTCCATGTCTCTGTACATGCGCAGATCTCCCATTGCATGCTCCCTAACTCGATCATGCTAGCTTCGTGCCTTTCGTCGAAATTCATGAAAGAATGTCTGTTGTAAGAAATGATAGTGGACTCATTTTGTGCAACGTCGTGGTGGTAATCATGCACGCCCTGCCCGCAGCGCCTGCCTTCGCCACGTCAATCGCTATCCGTGACTGGCTCTAGGTCGATTTTCGACCACGACTTCTTCATGCTTTCGTCAATCTTCGCCTCCACCTTTTTCGCTGCCGTCTTCACGTGCCACTCCCCCTCCTCGTCGCGCCAAGCCACCTTCTTCCCCTTGACTGTGACCATGTCCCTCCTCCACAGGATCTTCACGTCGTCTTTGTCCTCCCCGCCGTCGTTGATGATGTGGTGCTTGGTGCGCCCCAACCTCTTCCCCTTCTCTCTCTCCTCCGTCGCCAAGTTGTTGCGGAAGACGTACATACATCTACATATCTAAATATCTACATCTCTCTCTGTATATATATATATGTACAAGACTGCAGTGGCGCTTCGCGCCATGCACCTTGGTCCTTGAAGTTTGGCATGCAGGCGGAATGGCAGGGAGGTCAAGCCGACAATTTAGCGATAACTCCTGGTTGCTTTTTCCGGCATCGCCGCTATAATGATGTTATTCGTTATATTCCTCCATGCTTTTTGTTCCTTATTTTCGCCATACCCTGCGCATTCTCCCCATCCTCCTCAGTTTTTTTTTGCGGAGGCTCCTCCTTGGAGAGCCTCTAGGGGCCTCGCAAAAGTTGTTCCGGGCTTTCTTAAGGCCTTCTGGAGGCCTCCTGGGCGCATTCTGGGGGCCTCCAGGGGCTTCCTCAGGCCACCCTGCCTCCAACCGCCGTCTCCCTGAACGACCGAATCACGATTTGGGATTCTTCGGAGGGTGTCTTTGGGCCATCTTGGGCCGCCATGGGGCTCTCTGAGGGCCATCTTGGACCCGTGTTGTGCCGTTTTGGGACTCTCTTGGACTGCCTGGAAGCCCTTTCGGATGGTTGTGGGGCGATTTGGGAGCCTCCCAGGCGGCTTCGGACGCCCAGAAGACCGCCGTCTTAGAGCGTCGGGAAGCCGAAAAGAGGAGAACCCCAAAATTCACCAACAACCCATAGAAAATCAATGATTTTTGCCTCGGGGGGCCTTCTTGGGAGTGCTCTTGGAGGCCTCTTTGGGGCCGCCCTGGAGGCCTCTTGGGCCATCTTGAGGTCACGTCGGTCACTCTTGGAGCGCTCTTGTGCTGTCTTGGGGGTCTCTGGGATGTCTCCGATGACCCCCCTGATCGCCTTAAGTGTGCTGGGAAGGTTTGGCAAAACGCCTTGCGAGGCGCGGTGGCCGCTTCGAGGCCCGTCCGGAGGGCCCCAAAGCCCCAGGTCCCGGGAGTCCGTTTTTTTTTTTTTTTTTTTTTGGGGGGGGGGGGGCGGGTTTTCCCCCCGCCCGGGCTTATAAAGATATAGGAAGAGGACTATATATATATATACACACATGTAACGACTTTGGTCTCTTGGGATCCTCTTGGGAGCGCTCTTGGAGGCCTCTTGGGACGTCTCGGGCCCTTCTTGGACCTTCTTGGGGCCATTTTGGGCAGTCTTGGGCGACTGGGGGCCTTCTTGGGCCTTCTTGGGGCCCGTTTTGGGGCTAACTTGGGCCGTTTTGGGCAGCCCTTGGGCCGTCTTGGCCCCCTCTTGGGCTGTCTTGAGGGCCTCTTGGGAATGTCTTCGGCTCTCTTGGGCAAATCTTGGGAGCCTCCTGGGTCGTCTTCAAAGCCGTGAAGGCCGAAAAGTCGCATATAATAAAGAAGTACGTTTCCCCGTCGGAATTCAACGATTGTGGCTTCTTGGGGCCCTCCTGGGAGTGCTCTTGGAAGCCTCTTGGGGCGTCTCGGAGCCTTCTTGGACCGTCTTGCGGCCATCTTGGGCCGTCTTGGGCGACTCGGGGCCTTCGTGGGCCGTCCTGGGCGCCGTCTTGGGGCCAACTTGGCCGTCGTAGGCAGCCCTTGGGCCGTCTTGGCGCCCTCTTGGGTTGGCTCGGGGGCCTATTGGGAACGTCTTGGGCTGTCTTGGGGAAGTCTTGGGAGCCTCTAGGGCCGTCTTGAAAGTTGTGAAAGGCAACTCCTGCTAGAGACACGAGAGAGGCGAAATCAGCCAAAGTAGCTACATGTATAGGTTGTAGAGTACCTTCCAAAGTACCTACGAAAAAACAGCAAAGTAGCAACGCGAAAAAAAGTAGGTTCCAAAGTACCCCCCCGCTTTTCCCACAGGTAGTCGCCAACAACGGCGAACCGCAATTGACGAGTAGGAAAAATCGCCCCTCGACGCCGCTGAGTGGCAATTCTGCGCAAAAGGTCGTTGGGCATTTGGCGGCGCATTGTTTGACGATCGCACCGTCGTGGTCTGGCAAGCAGGCACCCCCCCCCGAGCGGATCGGACGGGCTGGCCGTCAGAGCGGACGGGCGGGATTACAATCAGCTGAGTGGGCCGAACCAGACGGGCGCGTCGGGCGCGTTAGGCGGGCGGGCGCGCCATTCGGGGGGGGGGGGTCGAACGGCAGAACCATTAGGGCGGCTGCCAAAAACTCAGATGAGAAACGTTCCTATGTCACTGGTGTTTGGGCGCAGCGTAGGCACGCACCACTGCGCATCTGCGGCACAAGCGCGATAACTATCTAGCCCCCGCGTCATCCATGCACACGCCTACTGCGATGCAGTTTCCAGTAACCTATCGAGTTGTGCTACAGATTGCTGCTAGGACGCGCAATTGAGCCCCCTGGGGACCACCGCAAGAAACCCCGTTGACCCCAAGATGCTCCTGATCGCCTAAAGAACAGCACCTGGCACAGAGGCGATGCAAATTTAACTGGCATTGCGGGTGCAGCCCGATTGGAGGACCCCCCATGGATGACCGCTGCTCCCAAGGAATGTCACGGTGATGCCACAACGCGTCCCCCAACAACAACAACAACAAAAACAAACATAATGCCATGCACCGCCGACAAACCCCAACAAACTTTCACTAAGGTTTCGAGGGTCCCACCGACCCCCTCCCCTCCACCCCGCCCTCGCCGAAAACATGTGCAACAACGCGACCGATAGGCACGCGCTGCTGCGTGCGTTTACCGTTGGCCTGAGACCGTGCAAACATATATCTGGAGGTGCTGGCGGGGCTGCGCAAAGCGTCAGGTCTACCGCCGCGCAGTCGCACGCAGGGGCGCGTTTGGCGGTCAGCTCGTCTATTCTAGGCGGCCGACGTGGTTTCACTTGCCAATGTGTTTACCCTATCGCAGCGCGCAGTCGCCCTAGGCCGCCTTCTAGATTTAGCGTATTTCGAGTTGTGGCCGTGCCACCGATACCTCGACTCCTACCATGCTACGCAACGCCAGCGCTTTCCGAACACAACCCGTCGTTGGAGCGCCCAGCGGTTGCGCCTGCGAAACCCAGACCACTCCAAGGCGGCCCCTGATGCACTCAAGGCAGCCGATGGCCCCCGAGAAGGCCCCAAGAGGCCATGTGAGCGCCCAAAGCGACCCAGGAATGCCCCAAGATGGCCCTATGAGGAGCCCAAGTGGTTGATAACGAACAACGGGTTCGAGCTTCCAACGCCGAGACGGCAATTGAGAGCGTTGAGAGGCAGCCCAGCCGTCAAAAAGCTACCACGGGATCCCCCAGAACTGACCTAACCTACGCTACATCTCATTCGTGTGCGATTGGGTTCTAGACGTTGCGATTGTTATAGCTTTAGACGCTCAGGGTCTGCTCAAGAGGTCCCAGCGGGTGCCCCACGACAACGTATAAGACGACCGCAAAGCCACAACGCAATTCAGACGAGGCCTACTACGGACAAACACACCTACACGGCAACCCACGAACTACCCCAAACGACCCCAGAAGCACCACCGTTGCTACAGCATCAGAGCGCCCTCGCCAAACACGTAAACAACGCGTCAAAAGGCACTCACGAAGCCCAGCGAGGCTCCCGATAGCTCACCCCAAGGGGGCATGACGATATCCAAATCAGCGCGAACCATGATGTTGACATGGTTGCATTATGCCCATGGCAACTTCATGGCGGCACGAGAAGCCCGCAAGACCACCCCAAGACGGCCCAAGACGCACCCAGAAGCCCCTCTAAGAGGACACTGGGATCGCACATGAACTGTCTAAGACAACACCCATGGACCCCCCCACCGCCATGCGGACACGAAATGATTGTGCGAATCTCAGCGTCCAAAGATTGCTCCGAGGATTCCAGAGGTGCCCCCGGGATGCCTAACGTGACACGCGGCAGCGTCCCAAAGAGGCGTCGGTGCGGCTCCCAATCACCATCAGAGAAGCACGCCAAGCGATCACAGGCGACATATGCAAGGCGGTTGACTCACAACCCACGCACGGCGGCGGGTTGCCGCAGGCAGCTGGATTATTCCGACGGCAAAGCAGAGGGACGAACCAGGCGCCACCAGCCCCTTAAAGGAGCAACGCCGGCGCTCTCATCTAGCCCATCCAGCTCGGGGGAAGGAGATTGGGAATGCTTGGGAATTGGATGGGGGAGGGTGGGGCAAGCGGGATGGCAAAATCATACACGAGACAAGGTGATGACGGCCACGTCAACAGACGCGACTGCAGAATTGCGAGGACAGGCCGCATGGACAAAAAGCTGAGCGACCCAGAGACAATGTTTTTCATTTCTCAGCGAGGCCCCCTTCTCGCACGCGCTGATCCCAGCACAGGCGCTGATGCCGTCGGCGCTCCTGCGCCACGTCGCCTGCAAGTCCAGCAGGCGCCTGGGCGCACATGTCGTGCATCGCCCTCGCTTTGCCATACTCGTCTCCCCCCCCTGGGGGGGGGGGGGAAGTGCCCCCCCTCAATGTCATCATCTCCTGGGCTTCTGGTAGGGGTGGATGGGCGGGGCACGAAAGATTGAGCGCCCAATGAGACCCCGCTGAGGTTTCGGAGAGCCTCTACGATGATTCCAAGGATGGGCCCAGAAGCCAAAGTCTGCGCCAAAACGCTTCGAATATTCTTCCAGCAGGCCCACCACCGCCTCTCGATGTCTCCAAGTGGCGGTGGTCTCCCTCTGGTAGCTCCACCTAGAAACCAACGGCCGTCAAATGCGATCGAATCCACACGTGCGAATGTGCTGTGTCGCAGCTTCGCGTGCGATGGCCCCCGAGGCCTCAAGGTAGTTCGACGCTGGCCCCAGATGGCCACGCACGACGCCCAAGAGAACCACTTGGATGCTCTGAGGTAACCCAACGCCGCCCCCAGAGCGACCCAAGACGCGACCAAGACGCGGGTGTCGGGGCCCTGAGGGGCAGAACGAATTGATTGCCATCCATCCCGTGACCGACATCCGCACATGTAGCCCAAGATGGCTCCGCACAGCAGCCGAAAGTAAACGCCAGGCAGCCTTCAAGATACCCAACACACACCACAGATATGCCCAAGGGCGCCCGATAGGCTTACCAGAACACATAAGACGCTGCAGATGCCACTAGTGTCACCACATCGCCTCCTCATCCTCCCAACCGCCCTCCCCTTCCTCCCCCTGGTCTCATTACGAACTTTCTCCTTCACCACCTCTTCCTGGGACATAGTGGCTTCCGCAACCTTGTGATCTCATATGCCCCCTGACGCCACCGACCAAACCAAATCGCATTGGCATATTTAGTGGAAGGGCCGACTGTGATACGCGAAGCGTCAAGAATTTAGACGGACCCCTTCAGCGAGGTAAGCTTGCTCGTCCAGTCAATGATGTCGGCCCGCATGACGGACTCGCAACCGTGCTCGACGATCTCCCTCTTGTACGTCATCACGGCCCTGCGGAGCTTCGGCGCCGACGATCCGAAAGATTTCCAGCTGTGCACCAGCAGCGCAGTGTACTTCACGGCCAGTGCAGCTTTCACCACATTAGCCGCTCTCGTCGTCAGGGTGCCGTCCTGCTCGTAGCCGAAGGTATCGGCCCAGACCTTGTTGGCCTCCAGGGACTGCGTGACCTTGTCGATCAAACTCTGGAAAGACGAACCGTCGATCTGCAAGATCGTGTCCTCCACGCGCTGCAGGACCACTTGGATGTCACCACCAAGCGCCACATTGATGTCCCATGGGTTGTCGACGCTGTCGCCACCAGTGGAAGATGGTTCGAGGTCATTCACCGCCGCCGCGAGCTCCGCCGTCTGCATCTCTTTGCACGCCGCGGCAGCTGATCCCATCTCGGTAACTGCCGCCTGGAGATCTCCGCCAAGTCCCACAATCTCGGTAGCAACGCCACCAGCATCGATCGCAATGCAAGTAGAGCGAACGCCCTGCACGACGCGGCCCGCACCAGGCTGCGCCAGCCGCGATGCGCTATCCGCGCCCAGCGCCATCCACTCCCTGTGGTAATCAACCAGCGGGGCCCAGGCCTTCAACGCGTCCATGGTCTTCGAGAGTTTCTCCTTCTTGACATCATCAAGCCAATCTGATTCACCGAGCTTCATGAAGATAGCCATGTACGGATGCGACTGGATCGGATCACGGCAGTTCTGGGAAACGCACTCGTACGTGATGTCGAAGATGGCGGTAGCGCTCGCTTTGTGGGCCTCCACGCCCTTGCCACCCGCGGCCAGCACAGATTGCAACACGGGGACCACTGCGTCGCGGTCGTCGTCGTTCAGCAGCGCCGCTGGCGTCAAGGTCGACGCGAGGTCGGCGAGGCCTTTGCTGGCGTTGAACTGGTTGATCTCTGACTCCTTCTTTTCGATCGCACTCAGCGCACTCGCCCACGTAGAGAGCTTCTCTGGAACACTGGTCTTCGCCATGGTGACCAGCGTCTTCGCCTCGGCCAGCTTCGCAGTCAGCGCAGCGCCAGCCGCGCCGCCGATGACGTCGCCAAACGTCTGGGTGTGCACGTACTCGTCGACCTTCGCCGCAACCTTTGCCTGGAAATGCTCGAACGACCCAGGCCGACAGTACATCACGATGTTCGGCAGCATCTCCAGCGAGTTCCGAATGACGCCAGACTTCACCAACTGAGCCATGGACGAGTTCGAATCGTCTAGCTTCTGCATTGCGTCGGACATCGAGGGGAACATCTCCCTCGTCTTCAAGTAGTACTGGTCGAACTCGTCCTGTGCAAAGCCAGTGTCAAACAACCATGGTGGGTGGTGGCCCGTGCATTCTGAAGCTACTGAAAGGACTTCGCAGACGGTGCAGGGCAGAAGGTGGGATGAGCGAAGGTGCAAGGTTCACGACAACCAGGAACCTTGTTTCACGAGTGAAGCCACTCAGGCTCGAGAGAGCGTGGCGTACCCTAGTGACGCGAACGACGCCCAAGACCCCCCCTGAGTGCACCATCAAATGTCTCCGATCCAGCTCAAGGCCTGCTCGGCACGCACACCCCGACACCAACTGCACTATCTGCCGCCCGTTTGCAGCCCCACTTGGTTTTTATTGGCCCAACCGTCGCTGACACAAAGCCCCCATGGACAACTTTGATACCAAACCCCTGGACCGCAAACCCGAAATGCACGGACAACCACCCCCCCTCTGCGGATTGACGTCGACTTGCCTTAAGCGCCGTGTAGTGCTGCGAGCGCTTCACCGACAAGTTCAAGTGGCGCAAGCACCCAGTCCCGACCCCTGTCGTTCTGCTGGAAGCCGTCATGGCCATCAGCGCGTCCTTGTAGTCCAGCTTCGTGGCGTCGGCGATGCAAAGCGCTGCCTTCAAGGTCACCGTCATCGTAGAGACGAGCTCGTCATAGCGCTCATCCTCAGGGCACTTCTCGTCGAGCCAGTCAAGGCAGCCGTTGCAGAACTGGACCAGCTTAGGTTGACCTTCTTTGCCCAACTTGATGAAGTAGTTGAGCGCCTCCGTGAAGAAGCCGTCGCAATTGGAAATCTTGTCCGAGCAACTGCCGTCAGCAGAGCACGCCCTGGGGCACGTCGGCTTGAATGACGGGCAGCGATCACCATTTGGTTCGTCCGTATCCCATGGCGCAATGTGGTAGAAGAGGACGTTCACAGACAAGTCTGGCGTCTTGATCGTTTCAGCGACCTAAAGGGCGAGGCCGAGAGAACGGGCGACGGCAGACTCGACAACTAGGTTGGGCCCGCGGGGCGGTGATGTACACCGACCTGCGCGCCCAACCAAGACCTGCCGATAGCCCAACCCCGAAGTGCCGCCCGTAGGACCTTTAACTTCAGCACATCCTGCTTAAACTTGCTCGGCATGTCCTCGGCGCCATTCTCAACATCCTTGAGCCAGCCGTCGAGTTTGGCTTTCGGCACGGACGCGAATGGCTTCTCGACGAGATTGCAGATGGCATCGCACACGTCCAGGTGGGCCGTGAGCTTGTCGGCCAACTCCGAGTCAGCAGAAGAGGGAGTGGAGTCCATGATGTTATCATGCGATTCCCTGGCCCAGCGAAGCTCGCGACCCATGGCAGTTCCTGACCAGCACCTGTCCACATCCAAGGCAGCAATGCGACGCTCGACGAGCTCCTCCACCTCTGACTGCTTGGTATCTGACATGGCAGACTTGGTGGCGCGAGGCTTTGCTCCTGGGGTCTTCGGCGCACGCCCATCGCCAGTGAATACTGTCCGCGAGCACGCCATCGCAGACGGGTTCAGCAAAGGACCAGCCGAAGCAGATGCACCAGCTCCAGGAAGACCCGCCGCAGGCAGAGGGCTCTCGCCTGGGCTACCGCCTGGGCTGCCATCCGCCTCCTCGGCGGCCAGACGAGCCCTCTCGGCGTCGGCCTTGCTCCTCTTGTAGGCGTCCGCCTTCGAGGCCAGGGAGTCCAGAGTGTGGTTCTCCGTGCGCGCCTTCACGCAGATGAGTTTCAGCTTGCTGTCCTGCGCCAGACCCTGGGACTGATCCACTGCGCCACCCCCGCGCAAATGTCGGACAGCGCACTCCGATTGAACTACCGCTCGCTCTGAACGGATCGATGGATGACAGAGGTCTAGCATGATGGGACGACTAGGGGGACTCAGAGCCAAAAGCAATAACGCGGATGCGAACCAAAGCGCCCGCATCAGGCAAGATAGCTCGACTTAGACATCTTCTCTGTACTTCCATCAATCGGTTCAGATAGTAAACCATCCTGACAAGGTGGGAACACAGGGGCTGGGGGGAACGACGAATGCGGAGGTCGAAGTGCGCAGCCCGACATCATAGCACAGATGGCGCAACGATCCATCGCGCCGAGCCTTCTTCACGAACGAGAACGTGCCAAAAGACTGGGCAGAGTACATCTGCTGGCTCGGCTGCATCTTGTGCGTGGTCATCGTTGCGAAGTGCTGGTGCATCACGTCGTACTCCAGGTACGGGCGGTTCGGGTTCGGAACCATCACGCCCTTGTAGGTGTTCCCATCCTGGTCGGGCAGGTCCTGCAGCTTGATGCCCAACTTCTCGGGCTCTTCACCCTCGAGCACGTCTGAGATCAGCTGCGCGCGGTTCAAGCCGATCATCGGCTTCACGACCGAGACAATGTATTGCGACCCTTCGTCGACGGCCGTAGGGAAGAACTGCCCTTGCTCGCCCGCCTCAGTCCGCAAGGCCTCCTCCCAGCAGTCGTGGATGTGCGAGTCCTCGTCCTGCACGCCTTGCTGGACGACCTCCAAGGAGCCGAAGTGCGTGAAGCCCTTCGAGTACCTCTCGAAGCACTGGGTACACGACGGCACAGCAACGTCCTTCATCTGCTGGCCGACGTCGTCGGTGCCGCACGTGCCGCACTCGAACGCGTCTGCCTGGAGCGCTGCCGCGCTGAGACGCCCCGCGGGCGCCGCGATGCCTCCATCGCTCTCCCTCGCGCCCGCGGCACCACTCCCCCGCCTGCCGCCGCCTCTGGCGGCCTTCCTCTGCCCGCCATCAGGAGCCTTGGCTGCGCGCTTGCCCATGCTGGGGCAGCCAAGAAAAAACAAAGAACTGCACGTGCGATGCTGTCCTCCGCTGACACCCGCCAGTGGAGCCAAAACTTCTCGAGCCACGTGGGCTATGTGTACGGTGGATGTGGCGTTGGGCGCCCTGAGGCGTCGCCCGACAGGTCGATGGGCGGTGGTCTTCTGTCCAACGGCTCCTAGGCTACACAAGCAGCCGCCAGACAAGGGCCCCAGGTCCCGTCGCGCGATACATCGGCACGTGGCCGAAGGCTGAACCACGGACCGCGCATGCCATCAATCAAAAAAAACACGTAACACATCGGGCATCATATATGGGGCATCGAACCGCGTGAGGGTGTGCCAGAATGCAAACGAACACTCGGTGGGCCATGTGGAACCTTCGGAGGGCCAACCTACAGACTCTCACGCTGTGAAGGGGGGGAAGGGTCGGCGCATTATTTTACGGCCGCCTTATGGGGGGGGCAGACGCGGGGTGCCGCGAGGCGTCGCTGGGGCGAGGGGTGAGGGACGGATATGGAGAATGTTGGAATACGCAGGCCAAGATAACACCCGACATCCTAATCATGACCTTGTCAGCCACGCCATAGAACCTACGATTATTTCATTTATCAACCAACGTTCGCAGACGACTGCCCCGCAAAAGCTACTCTAAACGGACACTGGCACCCCTTGGGGCGCAGCCGAAAACAAAAACCAACCCCATGACAGGCGAAACAACGGCTGCTGGTTTGGATCAATTTGGCCATTGTTGTTCAGGGAAGGCACCCGTGCAGCTAGCTTAGGAGGCACCCTAGGCTAGGCCAGCGAGCATGCGATGACCCCAGACGCCACCCAGACCTTCATACGAACGCCTCTCGTATTGCCCACGGTTTGTGCTTTGCCAGATTTGAGAGGGCGGCGCAGCTCTGCTCGCACGTAGCCGAAGGCATCCAACAATAAGCACCGCTCTTCATGAACGCCCGAACCAGCCCCAGGCCGCTCCGCCACCACAAGGGCCCATGAGGGCCCAGAGAAAGCCCACCTAGGAACCCACGCGGCGGTCAGCAAAATCCATGACCCCACCCCCCGAAGGTTGTTTCAACCGAGCTTCGAGCAATGCTGCGAATCCTTACGTCGCCCCGTGCGTTCGGCGATGCATCGCCGAAGCAACGTGCTTGCGCATCGCGCTCGGGATGGATTGGGCAGATATTCGGAACGCACAGGTGCAAGAACCACGGGATGCAGGAGGATGAGGAGGAGGAAGGGGAGGAGGGGGGAGGGGAAGACGAGGCGGGGGTGGAGGAGGAGGAGGAGGGCGAGAAGGGGGAGGATGAGAGGGAGGAAACTCAGGAGAAGGAACACGGAGGGGAGGAGGAGGAGGAGGAGGAGAAGGGGAAGGAGGATGGCGAGAAGGAGGAGGAGGGCAAGGACGAGGATGAGGAGGAGGACGGGGGAGAGGAGGAGGAGGAGGAGGCGGCGGCGGGCGAGGAGGGCAATGGACGGCGGTGCACGATGGCAGCCGATGCAGACAGAACGCGCATGTGAGGATGCGCGCAACAATGGGCATGCACATAACTTCCAAGCTGATGCGGGTAACCAGTGAGAGAGAGAGAGAGAGAGAGAGAGAGAGAGAGAGAGATAGAAAAAAAAAAAAAAAACAGAGACAGAGCGAGAGTGGAACGACTGAGAGTGGCACCTAAGTTTGATCCTGACGAGACGGAGGAGGTTGACGAGCAAACGGACGCACCTTCGACGCATGAGAAAATGTAAAGCGGATGATGCGACGGCGCAGTGAGGCACGAAGACGCCAGGGGGCTTTGGTCAAGGAGAAAGGGAGCGAAGATAATGGGATTGGAGATGGGTGGCGGGGAGGAGGGGAGCGAGAGACACGAACGCCGCGGTGAAGACATCGACACGTGAGAAGAGGGAGGTCGGGGGCTGATCTCAAAGAACTTCGGGCCATTATGCAGCGCAACGAATCAAGCGAGCACCGCACGGAGCATTCCAACTGCCCACGCGAAATCTGCCGTCGAGCGAAATGAGACGCTCGCAACCCTTCGACTGCGAGAGCGATCCGTCCGCTGCCAGCGGCCTTTAAACGAAAGGTTCCTCAATGCGCTGTCAGCGCGTGCCAGAGGATCAGTACTCAGCGCAGGCAGCGCGCACGAAAGGACCAGTGCTGAGCGCTGCCAGCGTGCACGAAAGGACCAGTGCTGAGCGCTGACATCACAATTTCTGACATCATCATCGTCGTCGCCATCGTAACTCTCCCCCTCCCTATATCATCGTTCACTGGTCGTTTCCGATATCACGAAGCAACAAATTTGCGGAGGTGCCCTGATGGCCGAGCACCGAAAAAATAGAAGCCTCCGAAGCGGCAGAGGATGCAGCGTTGCCAACAGTTTTGTCTGGGGCGTCATCGTCAGCAGCGACGCGCTTGCCGACGTGCGCTCCAAGCTCGCAGGCAAACTCCTGCGGGGCTGGCCTTAAAGACCAGCGGCGCGTCTTGGGCGGCATGGTCGCAGGCTCGGCTGGAGACTGCAAAGCCGAACCCTCTTTGGAGGGAGTCTCAGCGGCCATGCCACTCGCGCTCTTGGCAGACGGCGTCTTCGCGCCTGCGGCGTCCAAATTGCATGAAACAAACAGACTGGATGCCTTCTTCGGAGGCGAATCCTCGACCAGAAACACATCCAGCGACGTATCATCATCCCCAAGCCCTCGCTTCCGCGTCAAAGGCCTTGAAGGTCCTGGCGGAGTGCCTGCGTGCGCTTCGTCGGTGTCAGCGCCCTCTTCAGGGCCGCCTGAAGCAGCAGCGCCACCCTCCCCAGGGTAGCAAGAAGCTGCTCCCGAACCCGATCCGCGCCCAGGATCGGGAGCACGAGGCAAACAATCGCGGGGCTCTGGCTGGAACAGCTGCTGAGCATCTTTCCCAGCCGTCTCATGAACAGGCGGCAAGCCGATGCCAGCCTGAGCGTCGAGGAGCGCACGTTCTGCCTTCCACCCGGATTCGAAATGGGAGAACCGCGGGTCCGAAAGAGTGATATCTGGATCGGGGGTGCGAATTGGACCATCTTGTGCAACGCGCGTGCCACTGTCACTGGGCTCTCCTTGGGCAGGCTCCAGATCAGGACTATCAGGCGGCGTCGCCGCTGGAAGATCAGAGTAACTCGGCCCCATGAGTACGACCGTGCAGGGTACCGTTGTATCAATACGTACTTCCGAGCTGATCGGGCGGTTCGGGTCGACGACGACCAAGGTAAGGTGGCCAGTCACTTGGATCTCCATGGCGCTGCTTTGGTTACGAAGCTGGGCTGGCACGGGCGCCCTCAACGAACAAAGAAGAATTTTCGAGCACTTGACCCAAGCGGCTGCTGTCTGGAAAAGCTGGCCAAATCTAGCGTAAATATAAACATGTCCTACTACATGGCGTGTGATGCCGTGCGTTCAGAATTAATTACGATGATGACTGTTTTTAACAGTGGATGAAGCATCACCAAAGGATATGAGACAGGAGCACGCATGCTAAAGCATATGGTGGTGCTGCTGCACGCAATGGTAGCAAGCTTGCTTTTGGTTATGACAACGAAACGGCTCGCATACCAAGGCAGCGCACGAGGGCAGAGTTGCGCACGGCGCGCACAAAGACCACAAGCTGCCGCGCGCAACAAACCTTGGGGCGCCCCCAAGACGGACGGCGAGGCCGCACGGCGTGACCTGCAAATGGCTTATACGCAATACACACTGCCAGGACACAAGCCTAAGCACACGCAGGGCATTCCCGATGTCGCGCCAGGGCAAGCGCACGACGCCCTTCACCAGCACCCCCCCACACGCACGCGCGCAAACGCAGCCGATGACAGAATTATGGGCCAAGCCACCACGCCAATGGCACAGACAGACGAGGCCGAGCCCGAACGCACGTGACATTGGCAATCGCAACCGCCCCCGCGAAAACAAGGCCGCGGTGTGGCGCCGCCGTCATTGGCGCCAACCGCACGGCACGCGCGAATGCGCAAACTCGCGCCAAACGCCAGTGCTTGCCGACCCAGCAACGCTAAACCGCGAGCCCCGAGTCACACTTTTCTCCCTGGAAACGCGCGCGGCAGCGCGCAAGCCCTGAAATGTGGGGCACCGACGCGCGCTGACGGCCAAGGCGGGCGCCGAAATACTCTGGCGTCAGACCGACCAAACCAGCGCTTCGGAACTTCAGAAACAAAGCGCAGCACGAGTTGCGTTAAGAAGGCGTAGCCCGCTGCCCCGTGGGCTGGCGGCCAAAAGCCCAGCCCTCAGTCGCGGGTTCCGTCCGCCGCTAACGCCAAGCCATGCGCATTTGGGAAATGCGCGACGACCGCAATGGCGAGCGCAGCGCTCTCGGAACGGGCGCCGACGCCAGAACTGCGCGCGCGTGGGCCAACGGCCCAAAACGCGCAATCAACGCGCTCGCGATCGCGGCCGCGACGCGCGAACCCAAAAGCGCAACCGAGCGCGGCGCCGCGCTTGACGCCGACGCGCTCCTGAAGACGCTCGCGTTGAGCCGCGGGCACGCCGCGCCGCCGTCGGCGCGAATACGTTGAGCCGAGCGGAGTGCGCCGATGCCCAGAGACGCCATCGACGACCTGAGACCGCGCGCATGAGGTGGCAAGCTGAAGGCGACGCCCGCGGCCTACCGCATGACGAAGAGTGCACCGCCGAAACGCGAACAACGCTCGAGCTTAACCATGCGCCCGCGGCCCAAGGCGCATCAAACGCCGAGCGAATGAATTGGCCAGCGCGCGCGGGCGACCAGCCCCAAGATATTGCACGAGGAAGCTAAACATTCGCCGATCACACCAAGGGGGGAAACTTGGGGCGCGCCGCGCAAACTCCCCGCAGCACATTCACAAGCACGCGCAACGCCCATAGTGGCACGCCATGCGGGCAGAGCGCCCCGTGACCACGATCAACCTTGAGCTCGCGACGCGAACGCGCCCCACCCCTTTGCCCCGAGCACCGCCGCGAGTGCACCAGCCGCATCGCGCCGTTGACCACAGACCCCTTACCAGAAATAGCACGCGCTGCCCGCGCATTTTATGCGCATCAGCCCGCGCAAAGGTTGACGGTCCAACGCGCAACTACAGAGTGGCGCGATGCCGCGTGACCGCGTCCATGCGAACAGCGCTGACCCATGAGCTATGGCAGCGCGACCGCCCCATGCGCAGTCGACATCCAGCGTCGGCTTGAGGCGCGCTTAGTCGAGCGATCAGCCCCGAGCTCAAGCAGGAAACGCCGCGCTCTACGCCGCGAGCGCAAGATGCAGAGATCCGCACGACGCCCGACGCCCCAAAGAGCACTTGAGCTGCCGTGCGTTGTCGAACGAGCCAGCGCCCCAACTCCAGGCCAAACTCGCGCGCGCCCTTCCGATGAGTGACCGCTACCTGCCCGGCCTGCAGTGGCTACATTGCAACGCGCCCTCATTTTTCGGGACGGCCGCCCAAAGCGAAGGTCAGTGAACGCCTACTAGGCCGCAGACACGCGCGCAATCATTGCCGCTACATAAACGGACGTCGCGCGCCGAAAACGCATGCCCGATGCGCCAGACATCCGCCGCGCAGTGCATTGCCGAATCACGCGCGCGCAGTCCGCGCTCACCGACCGCGACAACGACGCGCGCCGACCTCAGCGCGATGAGTGTCGCGCCAACGACAATGTGCTCGCGCGCCCGCGCGGCCGCGCGCAGCCGCAGTCGCGCCATTATCATCCCGAACGCAGTCGCCGCACCTTCACAAACGATGCCGCCGCCCGCGCCCGCCGCAGCCGCTCCTGGCGCCGCTCGATCTGCAGCACCGAGCGCTGAAACTTGAACTTGCGCCGCGGCGCGGCAATGGTGTTGGCGACCAGCGCGGAGACATATGCACAGAGTTCGCTGTGCGCCGATGCAGACTTGCACGCGTCTTGCGCGCGGCGTTAACCATGCGACGGGCGCCGCCGCGCACTCGCCCTGTTTGCCCCGCTCCTCCCCCCGCGCCCTTGAACCCGAGCGCGCGCCCCCCCCCCCCCCCCGCGAGCGCCGATGTTTCTGCTGAGGGCAGCTGCGCCAAGAACGCTTGCCACCCACCACCACCCCGCAAAAGCCCACGACCCCACCGCTCTCATCCCATGCGCTCCACGCGCGACGCCCAACGCCGCAAACCCAAGCTGGCGTCGCGAACCTGCGCTGCCAGCGCTCGGCCGAATTTAAGTTGGCGCAGCGCCTCGATTCGCCGCGCCGCGCCCCCTCGCACGCGGGCCGCGCGCTCACGCAGCGCGCGCGAAGCCGCGCTGCGACACGGGCGAGCGCGACACTCAAGGCGAAGGCAGCGCCGCATCTGTCCATGACCAACGCCGTTCGCGTTGTTTCAGAAGTTGAAACGCACGCGCCGCGCGCCAATGGGAAATTCTGCATGCCTGCAGGCCCGAGGCGCACGACACCGAACGCTGGGAACCGTTGTGCGCGCGCTGCGCGACATCAGCTATAGGGGAGACCGCGTAGCGCCGCTCCAGGTCCAAATCCAACCAACCCCGCGCAGCCGCGTCGTCGCCACCCTTGCCCACGCTGCAGCCCCCCCCCCCCCCCCCCCCCCCGCGCGCGACCCAGCACGCGTGCCCACTGACGCGCGCCCCATTGCCGCTGGCGCAAGGCATGGCGCCAGCGAGCTTGAAGCGCGACTTCAAGCCCGCGGGCTAACTCAAGATTGCGCCCCCCCTTCGCGCCCAGGACGCGATGCCCCGCCGCAGCCCGCCAGAAAGCAGCAGCGCCTTCGCCGCCCAGCGCCCCATCTCCAGGACAACGCTAAGCAGCGTCATCGCTGGCCTTGGGCGCAGCGCCAGGCACCTCAGGGGATGCGCGCCGCGATTGCCATGAATGCCCCATGCGCCCGAGCGCAGCGCCCCTTGCGAATTGCGCAGGACAGACGCCCGCGCTGCGCTGCCCCCGCAGACGCGCACGGCTCACGACTGTTGGCGCGGCGCGCGCTCATCGCCCAGCGTTGCCAACGCTGGAGCGAAGGTGCTGTCGCAACGTTGGTTTTGTCAGCAAGCCTGGCAGGAAAGCGCGCCGTTGAACACGCGTGCGTCGGCGAATGACAGCGCGACTGGGGCGCGCTGTAGGGCCGACATCGGCAATTGCGGCTCTTACATGTTATATTTATGCCGTGCGATCGCGATGGCGTTTTTCTAGCATTGGTAATTTAGCAGGCGCGGGCGAGCGGTTGGGGGGGGGACAGGCTGCGAAAATTTACCTCATCGCGCTGTCTTCGCATGCTTAGTACGCGAGGTACCCCTTCCTTTGCGAGCCCAAGGGGGCGCCCCAGCCGCGCTTGGTTATCGGGGCAGGCGACGCGCGCTCGCGCCCCCTGCGCGACCTGTTGCGCGGCAAACCACGCGGCTGCAATCGACCCGACCTCCGACAGATCTGCCATGGCGCCGATAGAGGGAACCACGACCAAGGACATACCACCCGCTGCGGAGATACCCACCAAAGTACCTCCCAAATTACACACGGATTTGGGAGCCAGACGCTCAAAACTTAGATTGACCGTGAAAAGTACTTACGCAAGTACCTACCCGAAACAAAGTACCTCCCAAAGTACCTCCCGAAGTACCTCCCGAAGTACCGTCGGGACCGAAAAGTACCTCCCGAAGTACCTCCCGAAGTACCGTCGGGACCAAAACGTACCTCCCGAGGTACCGTCGGAACCGAAAAGTACCTCCCGAAGTACCGTCGGAAAATAAAAGTACCTCCCGAAGTACCGTCGAGGGAAAAAATACCTCCCGAAGTACCGTCGGAGAAAAAAAAGTACCTCCCGAAGTACCGTCGGAGAAAAAAAGTACCTCCCAACGTACCTCCCGAAGTACCGTCGGAACCAAAAAGTACCTCCCGAAGTACTGTCGGAACCGAAAAGTACCTCCCGAAGTACCTCCCGAAGTACCTCCCGAAGTACCGTCAGAAACAAAAAGTACCTCCCAACGTACCGTCGGAAACAAAAAGTACCTCCCGAAGTACCGTCGAGGAAAAAATACCTCCCGAAGTACCTCCCGAAGTACCGTCGGAACCAAAAAGTACCTCCCGAAGTACCGTCGGAAACAAAAAGTACCTCCCAAAGTACCCGTCCGAATCTGGATAGGTAATAGAGTACCTACCCAAGTACCTCCCCAAAATGTAGCCACTGGTACGACACGTCGGCGATTGGCCCGATGTACAATTGCACGGCAGGACATACCACGCCGCGGATGCGTACTGCGTCGCCGCCGCCCGACGTTAGCCCGCGCGCGCTACTATTTCGCGAATAGCGCGCGCAGCGCTGACGAACTTCCCTGGAGCTCGCCACCTCAACCTCAGTATGCTAGTCGCTGGCCGCGGATCAAGATGGCGCGGCGCCGCGAGCGCGGCCGCAGCTCCCTCTTGCAACGCCAGACCAATGCACTGCAATTGCAACGCTGCGGCCCGCGGGCGTGCCAACCCGTCGCGCGATGCATCTACCACCACCAGGCCCAGCGTTAATGCTACTTGCGAAGCCGTTGCGCCCCCGACAAATCGCCCCGACGTTCCGATCTAACCCCTGCTCGCCCTAGCACAACTCGCCATGCTTATTCTGGCAGCGCTAACTCCCGCGCCGCCGACCGCCTGAAGAAAGACGCGCGCGCGCCGCCGAAAGCCAGGGCCCAGCGCGCTCGCGCGCTCGCAGCAGCGCCCGCTCGCGCGCCCAACGCGCGGCTACGAACCCACCAACGTGACGCGCGACCCCGCAGGGAGACAGCACGCCGCCCGCGCGGCGGAGAACGTGCCGACGGCATCTCCCCCCCACGCTTTGCATGGCACGGCTAATGCGGCTAGTTAAATGCAGATCGACTGTTGGCTGCGTGCCCCCTTGGCTTTCGCTCGCATCCAGCGCTTGCCGCGGGCGCGCTTGCCCGCGCGCGCCCCGCGGGGCCCGCGACGCAGCCTGCCGCTGCAAACCCGCGGGCGCAACGCAACGCGCGACCGCCCGCCCCCTCCCGCACGACGCGCCGCGCTGAGAAACGGATATCCCACGCGCGCGCTGGGCGACCGCGCACTGCCCGCAGTGCGATCGAGATTGAGCGCCGCGCGTGGCCGATCGACAATCGCGCGGGTAGAACGTGCGCCGCGTCGCCAAATCCCGCATTGCCAGCTCGGACAACGCGCGCATCCTGCGCGGCGACCCGCCCCGCCCATCGACGTCCAAGCGCGCCCGCGCGCCATTGCTGCGATCACGCACATGCGCGCGCAAGAGCTGCCCTGAGCGAGCGCCGCGCCTTGAGCTGCGACTCGCAGCGCCGCGTCGGCGCAGCTGCCCAATGCGCCGACGCGCGCGCGACGCGCGCGGCATGAAGGCAGGCGCTCGCAATTGAGCGCCAGAAGGCCAAGGAGCGTTGCGCGCCGAATGCTGCAATGGACAGCGACCCGACGGCCGCGCCCGCAGTGGCGCAAGATTCTGCGACGCGCAGCCCGCGCGCCATGTCGACTGGAGCGCGGGGCACCGCAGGGAGCCGAGGGCAGCTCGCGGCGGGCAGCGCGCAGCTGCGCCAGCGACCGCCGCGCGCCACTTCCGCTGCCAGAGAGAGCACGCGTCGCAAGGTCGGCCTCGGCGAGACGCATGCGGCGCGCATTGGAGCGTCGGCTGGCCACCCCCCTTCCACCGCGCAGCTCCAGAAACGAGGGGGCGGGCGCTGACTCGCTGGCCCGAACAGCTGGCAAACGCTTCGACGACTCTCACAAAGGAACGACCAGCGGCTGCCAAGTGCAAGGCGCCCGCGCCCAACTGCCAACGCACGACGGCAACCTCAAGCAAGGCGCGCGGCGGGCAGTTCGGCCGCGCGGCCGACGTCGCGGCCGCCGACGCAACGACGCGCTGAGACCACAGAGTCGACATGCGTAGCGTTTCTGGCGCGGATTGGCCGAAAGAACAAAGACATGCGGCGCGCGGTTGGCAACGCGAATTGTTGAAAGCACGTTGGGGCTTGCGTTTCCGACGATGGTTGGGCATGCCGCGCTAATGGCCGCGGCGCGAGATCGTTGGCGCAGCGCGGTCGCGCCCGCGCCCGCCGCGCGCGCGAGGGCGCGCATCCGCGCGACCTGCGCGCCCGCCCCGCCTTTGCCAGACTTTCCGCTTCGCCAGCCTGCGACGCCGCGCCGCCATATCCGCGAGCCCGCCCGCCCGCTTGAGCGACGCCCTGCGCCGCCGATCGACGCGGCGGCGCGCGCCATGCAACGCGGCGCCAAAGCCCGCCGCCCGAACCCATGCGCCCGCGCCTGCCGCGCGCGCTGGCTCAGGCGCGCAGCGCAGAAACACACGCAAACCCGCGGTGCGCTTTGAAGCGCGCCGATTGAACCGCCAACCTAGCCGCCCACCCTGCTTCTTTATTGCAGCGGTCTTTGGCGTTACCGCCGCGATTGCCCGAACACCGCCTCGCAATGCGCGCGCCGAGCGCGCAATGCACGCTGAGTCAGTCCATCGGCGTCGCGACTACGCACCGCGGCTGCAGCTAGCAACGAAGGCTTCGCTCGCGCGGCCACGGCGCCCGTTGCGGCGCGCATTCTCCGCGCGGCCACGCAACAACCCGCCGCGTCACGCGCGTCGATTACGGGGGGGGGGCGCCGCGGCGCCGCGCCCGAACGGCCGCGGCGCAATCGGCCCCGCCGTGGCAACGTAGAAGGCGCGCGTTGCCACTTGCGCTATCGCGCCTGCCAGCGTCGCTCGCTGGGCGTCGCGCCGAGCGCGCGGCCGCGCGACGCAGCGGAACGCGCGCACTGCGAACTGGCCTAAGGCAGCAGACGGCTACGCGCGACGCAACGAATCGGCTGAAAACCCGTCGTCGGCACAGAGCAGTGAATATATCAGCGTGCTGCGCCCGCGGGCGGTCATCTGGCCAGAAAGAAACTGTTGCGCAGGCGCGATGCCGCGCGATTGCGGCGCGACACATCGCACGAGCGCGGCCGATGACCGACGCGATCCCCTTGGGCGTTCGCCCAGCAAAAGCAGCGAACGCGCGGCCAAACTACAACAGCTGCATCGGCGCTACGCGACTGCTGCAGCCCTGCCCGCGGCTCGACCATCCACGCCCCAATGCAAGGCGGTGCCGCGCCCGTGGCCTGCGGTTGGGCCTTGCCCGTGCCCGACTGCCGCAACGGCGAGGCCCCTTTCCGCCGCGGCAACCATCGCCACTGCAACCGCCTGCGATCGGGTGGCGGGCGGCGCGGCGGCTGGCACATCAAACGCGCGGCCGAACTGCGAGCCCTGCGCGGCCGCGGCGACCGCCGCTCGCGCGCCAACGCCACGACCGACGCAGTTGCGAAGCAGTTGCCATATTCCGCGCCCAGTGCGCGCCAATGGTTAATGACGCAATGGCTGCCAGCGCCGCCTGCCATGCAGACGTCCCACATCACGCGCGACGGCTGCAATTGCCCGCTTGTCCGCATCGGGCGCCTCCCCCCCGACGCACTGCAGCGCCGCGGCTGCAAATCTGGCGATGGCCTGGCAGCGGCAGCATTGGTGACAGAGGCTAACGTTGCGGCGCTGCGCCGCCGACGCGGCGCGGTTGCCGCGCGACCGCGGCCCAGCGCGGCGGCAGCGGCGGCGGCGCCCCTCGTCGCCATGCCCCGCCCAGCTGCCAGCGATCGACGCGGCGCGCGCCCGCGAGGCGCCCGACGACGCGCGCGCTGAAGAACGCGCGACCACTCTACCTCTACAAAGGCGTGCACATCGGCTGGCGGACGTTCGGCTGCGCCCGCGCGGACGTCGCCGCGCGCGCCCGCCCTCGCTGCGCCGCCGCCGCCGCGACCCAATCGCGCCCGTGCGTCGACGTAACGGCCGCGACGGCGCGCGCGATGCCGAACCTCAGGCGCAGCCAAGCGGCCGAACCCACTTGCAACGCAGAGCGCGGCCACCCACCCCAAACGCCCAAGTGTGCAGCGGCGGTCCCGCAACTGTCGCAACACAACGACGCGCGCAACATCATTCTTGGATGCGGGCGCGTGGCCCGCCGCGCGAAGCTAAACAAACGGCCCCGCGCGCGTGGTCGCACTTGCGCGGCCCTGCGAAATCCACAGCGCCCATCGGGCCTTGTCAGAATACTTGCCGCCGCGCCTTCGCACTTGGGGGCGCGTGGAGCGGGCATTGACCCAGCGCGCTGACGGAGCGCGGTGACTTCGAGGGCAGCCCCCCCCCCTGCGTGCGCCCCGTGTAGCGCGCTCTTAGTCGACCGACCTCTTTGCGGCGCGCGCAATACAACCGCGCGCGCGACGTCAAAACAACCGTCCGCGCAAGTGGCGCTACGCGCGCGCCTTCGAACGATCGACGCCGTTCTACAGAAACCACACCATTCGTGCCTTCAGAACCAACAGTGACGATACCCACGCGCGCACCCACAACCCCCCATGGATGCCTGAAACGGCACCAAACTGCCTCAGGCAATGTTCACGGCAACTTAAGGCCGCTCCACAGCGGCCCCGCGCGACCCCCAATGTGGCGACGCCGAGCCGACGCCGAGCGAGCCGCTCCGATGGAGATGGCAGCAGGTTGCCCAGAGCGGGTGGCCCTGCCTCACCAAACGCGACCCAAAGCACTATCCAGACTGATATATGGAAGCGTCGGGCCCGCCTGGTTCCTGCTAGGTGGACGCAACCTAAGCGCTTCAAACTTCTCTCCCATACTCCATGCAACATGCGCAAGGGACAGCGCAATTGCCGCCCGCGCAACCCCGCGGCCAGCCCAGCGCGACACGCCGAAAGCTTACCGAAGTCAGGCCATTCTGAAATTCTGCCAAACGCACTTCGACGCGGAGCCCTGCGGGCGCGCCAACTCGAACCTTAAAGCCACTGCACCGACGCGGCAAGCGACTGCTCCAATTTCCACCCCCGCCGCATCAGTAAGCCTTCCCGCGGTCCTGGACGCGGCCGAAAGAGGGCAACGCAACGAATCAGCATTGCCGCCTGCGCGTGGCTGCCTTACTCGCACTGCATTCCCGTCGCTGCCAACGCAGCCTTGCCCAATGAGCCACGCCCGCAAGCGATGCACGCGAAACAACCGAACGGACGCCGAGACTTCGCGAGGCCACCTGACGGCAGCCGATGCAAAAGCGCAGGGCTGGCGCGATGGCCAACATGTCGAGCTGCCGTCGCGACGGAAGCTCTAGGATGGCAAAAGATGGCAAGCAAGCCGCAACAGCAGCGTCACAAAAGACGCGCGCTGACACCATGCTTGCCCCAAAGAAGTTTCGGCCCCTCAGGAAATGCCCGAGATGCCAACCGCCAGACCACGCGCTACAGATCAGTGGTGCCGCTGGCTGAGGGCTCGCCCGCACTGGCTGAACGTGCTGGAGCCAGCGGGCATCGCCCCGCATGGCGCGCGCCCACCCATGGACCCCTCGCAAGCCGCACCCCGTGCAACTGCACTTCTCCACCCTCCCACCCACTGTGCCCCGTGCCAACCCCGCCCGCCAGCCCGCCCCATCGCCCGCCGACGTGTCGAACCACCAAGTAACCGACAGCCCGTCAAACGTCAAGCGCTGCCCCCTGGTGCACCGTCAGGCCGCACTTCGCAAACCAACCTACGCGGCACCGCCCGCGCGAGCCAACCGCGCGGGTTGCCAATATGACCTAACGCATTGTCACTGACACGTCCTCCCGAGCACGACGCTTCATAACATTGCCGACCACTGCTGCCGCGGCGCAAACCAAGCGCCCACAACGCTTATAACCGAAAACGTTTGGCGTTCTACTTGCGCCGACAATACAATCCGCGAGACCGCTGCCCGCGCTCTGCGACGCTGCCGCGTCCAACGCCGATGTGCCAAGGCTGCGCTTTGTGGCAGCTCACGAGGGCGAGCCGCGCTGAACGTTCTCTGGGACGCGCTGCGAGCATCATTCGGCACTTGCGCCGCGCAAACCGCACGGACCTGGAGAAACTTGAACCGCCGCGCGCCGAACGCGGCATCAATTAGTTTACGTCCCGCCGTCGCCAATAGCACATTCGCGCTGCGCGCTTTTTTGAGCGTCGGGCAGCCTGGCGGAGCGGTAGCGCGACGCGCACCGCGTGCAAATCATAGCGGCTTGGCGCTTGCGACCCCACGAACGCCGAGCCCAGGGCAGCGCAGCGCATCGTGCGAGGTCGGCCCAGCGACCGCTGCCAAAGCAAGGCGGGGTTTTACATGCAAGCGAAGCGCGCTTGTCAAACCTTTTTAAGCCCTGAAGCGCTGGCGGGTACGCCCGCCGATAGCAAGGCCCGCGCGGCGCGCCAGCTGAAAAGCTTTAGCCTGCAGTTCGCTCAAAAGCGCCAGCTTGAGCCGATGTGCCGCGCCATCCATGCACATATACATGTGCATGGCGGCGCGCGCATACGTGTGCGCCGCGCGTATGTCGTGCGTAGTTGTGACGCGCACGGCGAGGACAACGACGACGAACGAAGTGGCGGCGGCAAGGGCGGAAGCCAAACGAGAATTTACATGTGATATGCAAGTTGGATGGTCAATTGGACCAGCACTCTGAAACGTTGAATTGAGCGACGCACGATGCATTTAACGCGGGTGCTGTTTAGTTAGAGGGTCCCATTCCGATCACCATTCGCACCCCTTGGGTTGAGCGTATAATGCAATGCGCCAGGGGCATGGTCGCGAGGCTATCGATGTATATGGGCGCCGCGTTGGCTTGCGTTGGTAGTCCAAGGGGGCTTGGTTTCCCGAGATTTGAACCAGTGCGGCCCTACCTACTAGCACCTTGTCTTCTTTTGCGTTGGCAAGGCCACCGAAGGCCCTAAGACATAAGACGCTCTAAAGGCCCTCCCCCAACAAAATATAGCCAAACATTACCACTTAGTTTTCATGTGTGCGCATTCGGCAAGCAATCTTACTCGACGTTTGGAGCACCATACGCGGTGCAATGTACTATCGCACGTTTACTTGTGGGCCAGCGCCTGCGGCCCCAAGATGGCTCCAATACGGCAAAAGCACAGCATGCACGCGCGCCAGACACCTAGCCGGGCCCCGAGAGCACCCATGAGTGCCCTACACTGGTCTCCAGACAGCCGAACGCTGCGGCGCGTTCTGGCCAACGCGGTCGGGAGTGGATATAGCATGCATTAGGTTCGACGGCCAGCGACGCCCACTAAGCTCGTCGGTGCCGCCCAAACCTATCCTAAATAGACGCACCAATAGTTCCCAGGAGAGCTCCGAGTGTTCATTGGGAGAGGGGGCCAATTGGCCCCATAACGCCGAAGCAGCGGCACAAGCCTTTTCAAACATAGTTCGGATGAGTCCAACCTGTGACTCTTGCGAACGTTCACTTGCTCGCTCCATCACCGCCCTCCCACACCCCTCGCCCCTCTCCCAGCGAAACATGTCTGTATGTTAGTGGTGGAAGCTGGCGAAAATACGCGAAGCGTCTACGATTTTGGCATATCCCACTGACACCTCGATGCTCGTCTCAAGCTGGCACCAGCCCTGGATGCGGCGCCCTGCTAGGCCAGCAGGCACCAACGCCGCTCTGCGCACTGAGCGCAGATCGTCAAGACAACGCTCATGGGCACACGGCTGGCTCATCTGGCTCGCCAGGCGCACGCGGCCTCTCGCGGGCCAGCAGCGCAGCCGCCATGGGGCCCATGGCAGCAAAGGCCGTCCGAGCAGCCTGGCGGTTCTCCCTGTCAATCCAGTTGGCGGCACCGTGCGACATCTGGTTCACGAACTCCGCGTGCCTCCGCAGCCAAGCAACCAGGAAGCCGATGGGGCGCCCCTGCTGTGGTCTGGCCCCAGGGTGGCATACCCTGTGCTTCCTGCACTTTACGTGCCCTGGGCTCCTGCACTCCGCGATCAGGTCGTTCTTCTTCGCGTTGTAGACGATTCTCCCGCCCTCGACTTCGATGAAGAGCATTGCTGGCTCCGCCGCTGCCATGCCGCCACCTGGCGGCGGGGGCGGAGGCGGCGGTGGTAGCGGAGCCAAGGCCCCCGATGATGCAGACGCACCGCCCTCGCCTCCGCCAGGATCGTCACCACCTGCATCGCTCGACCCCTCAGGGCCAATGATGCCGTCAAGGTCGGCCGTTGAGCTAAGGCTGCTTGAAGTCGAACTGGACGAATCCGACTGGTCGTCATCTACCTCCTTGCCCTCGTGAACTGGCTCCACAGGCAAGGGCGCCCCGAGCACGTCTACCTCGACACCTTTTGAAGCCAAGGTCGCCGATAAAGCAGACAGGATGGCATTGCCCACAGACGCACCCACAGATGCACGTTTCGAGCGTGGGTGGTAGGGAGACGCTGGGGGGGGGTGGGGGGCGCTTGCCACAAGCCCATCCCAAAACAACTGCGCCTGATAGAGCATGCGCACACCGATCGGCCCTGCAAGGGCCCGTGCGAGTGTACTCTGAGTTTTGGGCTAGAGAGGTTGCGTCTGTTGCACAATGCCATCAACGACACACATCGGTGACCCTGGATCACCGTCATCCGCAACTTCAACGCCCCCTCCGACGTCAGCTGCAGCATCCCCAAGTGCGTCGACGGCATCTCGCACGTGCGATTCGCCTGCGACCTCTGCCGCGCTGTCGGCAATGTCGTCGCCGTCGTGGTTATTGTCGCCATTGTCGCCATCCTGATCGTCGTCCTTGAACGGTAGAGCGTCGCCCCATCCAGACTTGAAGTCCGAGCCCTTCTTGTCAACCTTCGCCCGCTTTTTCCTCCACACCGCCCACTTCGGTTTCCAGATGACCCTGCACATCGGCATGTTCGGCTTCTCGCGCTCCTCGATCAACTCGACGTCGACTTCCTTCGGGCAGAAAGATCCGAGAGGGCTGCTCCTCATCTCCACCTGGTACGCGCACATGGACCACCTGAGATCCCGATCGAAGTTGGTGAACGCCTGCCACGGCGTCGCAAACTCGCAGGTAGCCTGTAGTCGATGCTTGTCTGTATTGATGACTTGATGCATCGGGCCCTCCAGGGCTTGGAAGCAAGACCGCCATGGCGACAAACTTTGGTGGCCAATGTGTAACCACCTGCCTTCAACGATCGGCAAGCCTTCAATGATGCTGTTTGTGGCAAGATCGATGTCCTTCTCGTCTGCGGCAGGTTGGGGCTGCGCGAAGACGTAGACCACGACGTGACCGTGAGCCAGACTCTGGGTCCTCTCGCGACCGACTGGGATGGCCAGCTTGACAGCATCGTTGAAGTGGTTCACGAACTTGTCGACCTCCAGCCCCGCGCCCTGGCACACGCACATGCCAGCGAAGATGCAAGGCGGGATGTCTGGGCAATCGTTCTCGCCCCACTCGGGGCGCGGCTTGTGATCGATAATGTCGTGCATCTCGCCCCAGATCTTCGTCAAAGCAGTGAAGACGTCCCTGATGTAGTCACGATGTGCTGACAACCCGCGCCTCACCCGATCCAAGATACCCAGGGGCTCCCACTGGAAAAGCTTGAAATCCGCATGTGGGGGAACAACGGGGAGGAACTCGTCGAGCCTCTTCCGGATGGCTGAATCGTGGTCCAAGCACTCTGACCTCAGCTGAGCGCCCGTCAGCAACTGCCACTTGCTGATCTCGCTGTGCTTCGCATCCTTGTCGGATGCGCGCCAGGCCCGCTCCACGCGCTCGAAGTTCCGCAGGTTCTTCATGTCGGAGAGGTGCTTGGTATTCGACGAAGCGATGCTGATCATGCCGCTGTACGTGGCAACTGCGATGTCGACATCATCAGCGCCCGAAGACTCCAACAGCGCCGCGCGCTTGCGATCCGCCAGATCTCTGACTTGAAGTGCCATCGCCGCCTTGCTTGCCCGCGCCCTCATCATGCGAGAGCTGCCTCCGAACGGCATCTTGTTGCCAGCCCGTGCTGCTCGGGTTGCTGCCGCCCCCATGTCCTGGAGGTTCTTCTTCTCCTCTACAGACAGCGCGCGGTACGCCTTCACGATCTCCGAAAAGTCGGGCGACCCTTTCTGACCAAGCGTCTGCTGTCGAACGAAAGCACGCCAAGCACCGCCGAAGCCGCGGTAGCGCTTCCTGGTTGGAGGCTTCTGGCCGACCCTGTTCATCGCGTTCTTCAGCACGAGTCGCGCAGGCCCGTTGCGCAATCGATGCTGCCGTGTTCGAAACCGCTGGCAAGTCCGCAATGCAGACAGGCGCCTGATGTGCATCGCGTGGGTCTGCACGCTCAGCATGTGAAGGCTCCGACGGATGGTAGCGCGGCTGGACTCGATGCTGCAAGTCTCGCGCTGAACAGTGGCGGCGGTATGCCTGAGCTCCGCGAGAAGTTCTGCGCTCTTGAAGCCGTCCTCGGCGTCGGCGTACTTCCCGACGAGGTCCTGGCTCCAGCTGTCCATCATGGTCTTGCAATCGCTGCCGATCTCGTCCGCGCCATCTCCGTCCAACAACTTGAACAGCTTAAAGGGGTACCCCGAGTGCAGCACCCTGAGCTCGTGGGCCAGGCAGCCGATCTGGCTCAACATGATGAAGGCCTCGGCGCGAAGGCAATGCGACCTGAGCCCTGGAGTTAGGATGTCCCACCGCCATGCTTCCAACATCGCACTCGTCAGGATCATGAGGAACTCGTTCTCGAAAACGAACCTGGACGCTGCGACCATCGGAAAAACCTCGTCGTCAATGTCGTGGTCAAGGCCAGCTGCTCGGGCGAGCTTGCGGTACTCCATCTCGTCGGCGTGCTTGATGCCAGTGGACTCCATGTACCGCCTCTGGATCTGCACGAGAGGCACCAGCACCGCCCTGATCAAGACCAACCGCGCTGGCGTGCTGCCATGGTACAACCACTTGGCGCCGTGCCATCGGTGGATCGAGTCCTCCTTCCTGCGCTTCTCCTCCTGGTCCTCAGCGCCGCCGCTGCCGCGTCCGCCCGCGGGCGATGCCTCGACGCGACGCGCCTCCTCCTCGACATTCCGCAGGCCTGAGTTGAAGCCGTGCGGATCGTGATCCATGAGCATGCACAGGTGCAGCGGCACGGCGCCCTTCAGCTTGGCAACCTTTCGAGGTTGACGGAAGGTGGGGGGGGGGAGTCTCTCCCCCCTCGCCGTGACCGAAATAGCCGTTGGGGCCCGCGGGGCCCCTCGAGCAACCCAAGCCTAAAAAAGGCGGCTGTTTGGAGCCTTGGGGCGGGCAGCTCAACATATCTACACACGCACGCAGCGCGGTAGGGCCACGAGCCCACTTAGCTTGCACCGAGCATGGCCCCGCCAGGCGGCCTTGGGAACTTCCTCGGGCACTCTAGGGGTTCCATCTGTGGCATCGTGGGGCCATTTCTCTATCTTCCTCACCTGGGTTTGAGGGCGGGGGGCAGGGTGGGGCGGCATCACTCAATTAGCAGGAGGATGAAGGAAAGCGGGGCGAGGGGGGAGAAGGAGGAGGAGGAACGGAACAAAGGAGGGGGGAAGCAGCGGAAGGGGGAAGGAGGAGGAGGGGGGAGGAGAAGGAGGAGGAGGAAGAGGAAGGGAAGAGGGCGAACATGAGGGAGGAGGAGGAGGAGGAGGAGGAGGAGGAGGAACAGGCAGGAACTAGGAGGCGGATGAAGAGGGACGAGGATGCGGGAGGGACGAAGGACGGCGGGGGGGGTGAAGGGGAAGACGGAGGGGCGGAGGGAGGGAGGGAGGGAGGGAGAAGGAGGAGTAGGAGAGAGGAGCGAGGACGAGGGGGGAACGAGGAAGGGAGGGAGGGATGAGACTGATGAGGAAGAGGGGTAGGAAAAGGGAGGAGTGGAGAGGAGAGAGGAGGGATGGACTGCTGGATAAGAGAGGAGAGGGGACGGAGAAGAGAGGGGATATGAGGGAGGATGGTAGGGAGAAAGATGGAGGGAGAGAGGGATGGAGGGACGGACCGAGCGGCTGTTTAGACCAAACCTCCCACCCCCCACCCCGCGCGTCGGCCTCAGAGGATCCTCCTCCTCCTCCTCCTCCTCTTCTTCCTCCCCCTCTTCCCCCTTCATCCCCCCCTCTTCCTCATGATCGTTCTCTCATCGGCATGCGCTGCAGGGGGGGGTAGGGGTGAGGGAGAGTGGGGGGAGGGGGGGGAGATGAGGCGATGGAGGATGAGGAGAATGACGATGATGCTGGTGATGATGAGGAAGAGAAGGTTTGCGAGGATGGGATGGGGGGCGCGGCGGGGGAGGAGGAGAACAGAAGCAGGAGAGGAGACAGAAGGGAAAGAAGATGATGATGAGATGACGGAGGAGGGCAATGATGACAATGAGGAGGAACAGAAACATAATTCGGAGGACGAGAGGAGGAGAGTAAGGAACAGGAGAAGGAGGAGGAGGAAGAGGAGGGGGATGGGGAACAGTGGCGTGCCCGCAGGCTTACTTCATTGATGCCTCAGGGCGTCTATATCCATAAACCCGCCTACCCCCCGCGGCCTCGATGCCAGTCCACCTGAGGAACGAGCGGCTGAGCAGGCCGTGGCACATCTCCAGGACGCCCATGAAGTCGACCGCGACGTCGAAGCCCGTCCACCTGGAAGTTGGCCACACTGGCGGATCCGTCGCGGCGACCGCTGCCACGAAGAGCGTCGTGAACTTCGCCACGCAGTCAGCGCGAGACATGCAGCAGCCGTCGCAATGGTGCTCCACGCAAGCCCTAGGAGCAAAGCTCATGGCACTCCCTGCCGACATGCCCCTCCCCCGACCCCAAAGACATGAAGGGCTCATGGGCCCGCCCACGGAAAAAAAAACGACTGTCACGCAAGCCAGCCCCCCTTCAGACTGACATCGCAAGCGCCGACGTCCAGAGAGTCGGCTTGCGATCCAAAAAATGTGTTTACTGGTAAGGGGCCACCAGGGAGAGCATGGGGGAGGGAGTGCAATGAGCTTGCACTGTCGACGCCTCTTCCTCCAGTCGCCGTTGGCTAGCGAGAGGATGACGCACCGTCGGAGCCGACGGCTGGGGGTGGTCTCCGCCAGGAAGAGGTCCAGGCACTTCGTGCTGTAGTCGAGGTCCACTGGCGATGGCTTCTGGTGCTGGTAGTACACCAAGCTGCGCTCGATCTCATTCCTGAGAACCGCCCTGAAGGATCGCATGCCGTCCTGCCAGCGCAACGCCTTCGCCGCGTGCACCATGCACGCGGTGTCGTCCTTCACGTGGTAGAAGGCGTTGGTGAACCACTTGTAGATCATGTGGACCTCGCACTTCACCTTCAGCGTGCTACACTGGCCAGCCGACAAGCGGTCGAAGTTGCGCTCCATCCGCGTGATGCCGCCCGCGCCGTCGGTGCAGACCAGCCGCTGCCGTCTGCTGAACATCTGCGCAACCTCTTCTATCGGCGGCTGGCTGGCCTGAAGAGCGTCCCAGAGCACCTCTCCAGTGGTCCTGCTCAGCGACTGGACGGGCGTCTCCAGCGGCACGCGCACTGCGAAGTACCCAGCGTCGGGCACGTGGAAGAGCATGCTGTACGTCCGCTCCGTGTTCAGAATCTTGGCCGAGTGCACGCTTGTGCAAGTGCTGCTGATCGGCACCATGCTCACGTCCTGAGCTCCGCCAGCATGCAGTGCGATCTGTTCGCCCGCAGCCGCTGGAGTGGATCTCTCTGGGTCGCTCTGCCGCATGTGCATCGGCGTCTCGTCGTACCGCACCGACTCCGTCCAGCTCACAGCCTTGCCGCCGCGGGCCAGCACGGCCTGCGCCAGCTGCTTCGACATCCGAGCGACGTCTCGCGACTGAAGCACGGTGCAAGCAGCTGCCGACGCCTCAAGGACCCCCTCGGCCCGCCGCCGCCCTACCTTGAGCATGTCGCACTCGTGGTTGAAAGGCATCGTCGTCTTCTCCGAGTCCAGCCAGTAGTCCAACATTTGGCGCTGGTGCACGCTCTCGACCTCGGTGCTGAGGCCACCCTTCGCAGCCATGATCGCGCTGGTCTGCTCGACCAGCTGCGCCACGATCTCGCCCAGCTCACGGCCGTCTCCTGGAACCACCGCTGGAGGAGCTGCACCTCCACCGATGGCGGCGAGCTCGGCGGCCTCGGGCTGACCGTCGTCGACCTGCTCGTCTGCGATTGCTGGAAGGTCGTCGTCCGACCAATCACCGAAGAGCATCGCTGCTTCTTCGTCGTGCTCGGCCTCGGCCGCTGCTCGTGCCGCGATGGCGACTGCTGGCGACACCTCTGGAGCATCCTGCGGCCGCCCAGGCCCCATGGCATCGCGCAGCCGCTTGCGCAAAGGCTGCAAGGGCAACCACGAGGCCTAGGTGGCGAAGCGAATGTCATCTCACCCCCGCCTTTCATCACCCCTTGCCTCCTGCTCGTCCTTACCCCCCGCCCCCGCTGGAGGCAGGGGGAGGGGGGGGGGGGCGAGCAGGGGCAAGGAGTGAGAAGAGCAGGGGAGTCGATGGCGGACGGATCGAAGGCAGAGGAAAGGGAAGGAGACGCCGAGCCTTGCGGCGGCCGCCATACGACCCAGCCGCGCTGCGGACCACGTCCACGGGCAGCCCGTGGCCGTACGGCTCGCTGCCGTCGCACTCCGCGAGGCCGGTGGCCACGGCAGCTGCCCCGCCGCTGGCCGCGACAGCCTTGCGAGGGAAGTGAAGGAGAAGGAGGAGGAGGAGGGGGAGGAGACGGAGGAAGACAAACGATAAAGAAATTGAGGGTATGAAGCAGCGCGCCTCCTCCTCGGCGGCGCCGTCCGCCTCGCCAGGCGCCGCCTCCAGCGCGGCCCAGCCAGCGGAGGCTGGCGGCGCGGCGGCGGCCTCGGCCGCGGCCGTCCAGGCCGCATCGGCCGCGGCGGCGGGCGCCGCCGCCTCGGCGGCGGCAAGGGCCGCCCACCCCCCCTCGCCGTCCGCCATTTCGACGGGGGGGGGGCTTCAGCCAAAATGGCTGCACATCCAGGCAACGCCATCAGGGGGTCCCAGTTTTCCGAGCCACAAGGTTTCAACCCCGCCATTTTTCCGAACCGCGCCCACAAATCCAACACTCCAGCTTTCCGAGCCGCATCCTCTAACGCAGCGTCTCGGGCCGTATCCGACGACGCCAGGCCCGAACAAACAAATTAATAACCGAACTTGTTTGAGTAGCATTGAGGCGACGAGGGCCCCCCCCTTGTCTCAAGCAACCTGCCCTTGCACCCCAAAAACATATCCAACTACACGCATCACCCAATGGAGTTGCGTTATAAAGTTGAACACTGTGCACGCGCCCGCACCATGCCTGCTGAACACTTCACCCTGGCAACAACGGTAGCGGACAATCAGGGGGAGGCAAAGGGTTTTGAGAAAACCAATTAAGAAGGTCAACCTGTTTCAAACTAGGTGGTATACATTATCAGACATTGAGTCAACTACTTGTAATAGAGCCACCCCCCGTCGGAACCTACTTTTTGCTCGTCGGGGGGTACTTTGGGAGGTACTTTGCAACCTACTTCATATGCTCGGGGTGTACTTCTACTCCTACTCCGAAACCTACTTTGGGAGCTACTTTGGGGTTTCTGGCGGCCCTATTGCTCTAGCAGGAGTTGCCTTTCACAACTTGAAAGCCGCGAAAGCTGAACAATCGTCTATGCTAAACATGTGCGTTTTCCAACCGGAATTTGGGCCTCTTGGGTCCCTCTTGGGAGTGCTCTGCGAGTCCTCCTGGGCCGTATTGTGCAACTCGGGACCTTCTTGCGCCGTCTTGGGGGCCTCTTGGAACCCTCTTGGCTCGCTTTGGCACTCTCTTGGCCTCTCTGGGCCGCCTCTGGGGAGCGAAACGGGGGGGGCATCAGCGGGCTTCCGCCGATGGTTGCGGGGTCGGCCGGCCCAGCCGGGGGGGGGCCTATTGATTCATGACATGTATATATATATATATATACATATATATATGTATATATATATATACATACATATACATATACATACACACGTATGATTTACTGTTTTGCAATTTTGCACTTTGGGCTCTCGACAAGCTAAAAACGCAAAACAAACAAAAAGCGACGTTGCTTTAGCGTTTGAAGCTTCGCTCTTTAAACGTTTTTAGGCCCGTCGCTGGGGATCAGGTTTGTTGTTTTCCTTTCTGGTCGAAGTCTGTTCCTTGTCTTCCCTGTTGTCTTGGCTCCCCCTTTTTCGTTTCTGTCGGCATTCTCCCATTCAGGGTTACAAGCACACAATGACGCTCCGACGCCGATCTAACACTGGCCCGAAACAGGCACGGAGGCCCGATAGCCCCAGGGGCAATCGGCCATCGGGCCCGTAGGCCCGGCGCCCCAACCAGCAGCGAGGGCAAGAGAAGAGCAACAGAAACAATAATATTGATATTGGAACTATGCGGAGGGCTGCAGGCCAGGAGAAGGAACTGAGGACGTCCAAGACGGCAGTGTTCAGCAATGCAACCAACTGATTTGAACACGCTCGAAATTATCCGGGCGAAGGGCCCAACCATATGCAGTTGTGAGTATCGCCGTTGTGGGTATCGCCTTCGGTGGATCTTTTCATGGGGCCACGAAGCGTGTAAAGGGTGTGCCGAAATGGGGCGGGACGCATGCGGGCGCAGCCATTGGGGCCTTCGGTGGCGCTCCATATGGGGCCACGAAACGTGTGAAGGGTGTGCAGACATGGAGTGGGGCCACCATGCGAACATCGCCGCTGGTGCCTTCGGTGGAGCTCCCCATGGGGCCACGAAGCGCTGTACCGACTGGGGGAGACGCATGCGAACACCGCTACTGAGGCCATCGGTGGAGCTCCTCATGGGGCCATGAAGCGTTGTACCGGGTGGGGGAGATGCGTGCGAACACGGCCGCTGAGGCCGCTGGTGGAGCTCTTTACGGGGCCACTAAACGTTGTACTGGGTGGGGGAGACGCATTCGAGCGCCGCTGCTGGAGCTTTCGGTGGAGCTCACTCTGGGGCCATGAAGCGCTGTGCAGGGTGGGGCAAACGCATGCGGACACCGCCACTGGGGCCTTCGGTGGAGCTCCTGTGGGGCCACGAAACGCTGTACTGGGTGGGGGAAACGCATGCGGATACCGCCACTGGGGCCGTCGGTTGAACTCACTAGTAGCTGGCCACGAAACGCTGTAATGGGTGGGGGGAAAGCATGCGGGTACCGCCACTGGGGCCGTCGGTGCAGGGTGGGGCAAACGCATGCGGACACCGCCACTGGGCCCTTCGGTGGAGCTCCCTGTGGGGCCACGGAACGATGTAACTGGGTGGGGGAAAACGCATGCAGACACCGCCACTAGGGCCTTTGGTGGAGCCCCCCCTCTGTGGCCACAGAACGTTGTACTGGGTGGGGTAAACGCATGCGGACACCGCCACTGGGGCCTTCGGCGGAGCTCCCTGTGAGGCCACGAAACGTGTGAGGGATCTGCCAACGTGGGAGGGGGGGGGGGCGGCATGCGAACGCAGCCACTGGGTCCTTCGGTGGAACTTCTTATGGGGCCACGAAACGTAGGGGTGTGCCGAAGTGGACAGGAGGCAGCATGTGAACGCAGCCACTGGGGCCTTCGGTGGAGCTTCTTATGGGGCCACGACACATGTGAGGGGTGGGCCAACGTGGACAGGAGGCGGCATGTGAACACAGCCACTGGATCCTTGGGTGGAGATACATATGGGGCCACGAAACGTGGGAGGGGTGTGCCAAAGTGATGGGGTGACGGGAGGGTGAAGGGGAGGAGGAGGAGGAGGAGGAGGAGGAGGAGGAGGAGGAGGAGGAGGAGGAGGAGGAG